CACTACCTTTGTAGTCGTAGCATGGAAGGTCCTCACTATATCAAACTGATCCAAGTCTCTTACCAAGCTGATTGAGTTGATGAGGTAATACGTCACATTTGAGTTCAGCATTCTTTTTGTACGAATCAAAGTTTGTTAGCAACATTGATAACGAAGAATGGATGGTGCTTGGAGAGCATCATTCTCTAACTCTTGGTAAATGCTTTTATATACAGCCTCCTCACAGATAGCACAATGGAACGTCGCTATATGGCTTTGTTAACATTTGTCCGGTGTTTGATGTGGTTGGCTATATCTAAGGCAACTGGTCTTAACACCCGAGTCACCGAGTGGGAGTGACTACCCAGACTTTCAACGACAAGGTGGTCTTGGATGCCGGTGATTAGGAATGTTTAGTTTATATCTCAAAAATACATTGGCGCCAAGAAATCGAGAACGTCGTGGCCATGATAATATTGCAATGAGAGAAAAATAAAATATCAGGGTTTAAGATTTTGTGGAGAATGGCAGAGGCATGCATGAGTTTTTGATATTGAAAATTGATTAAAAAGAGTCCACTTGGACAGAGGCGTGAGAAACGGAGCTGAAGCCCGAAAGAGGAAAGCTCTGACAGTATTTGATGGCTGCTTATCTCACTGCAGAATGGATAAGCGACGCATTAAAGAAGATGAGGGATCACAAAGAGCTGTAGAGCAGATTCTATGGAGGTTGCTTTCTCATGTGGCACTTCGACACCTCCATGTCTACTGATATTGCTAGGCCAGTGGAGGGTATGAAGAGTATGGTAGACTCTTGCGCTCGTAGGCATACGGATCAGAGGGGCTGCTTACGATGAGCAAGATATCGTTGTATCAAAAGTATCAGGACATCACCATCTATTGTTTGAAGCCATGACAGATACGCTGTCTCACTCCACGGCGGCAATCGCCCATCGACAATATGGTGAGTTTTTTAAATGTGGTCTAGGTCATGATTGAAAGTCGAGATTGGCTCAAACTGATTTCCAAACACGTGGGTAATAAAGTGGTTTCCCAAAAATGTGGGATCGAATGTTGCTAGAATGAGGAGACTCCGGAAATAGACGAGATCCTGCTATCCACTGGGACGAATCGGCTCTCGTGCCTGATTAACACACGTCGGATGTGCATGATGGATGCGATAGCAGATGCAGCATGCTCAATGTACGTTTGCAAGCCTTATGGGTACGGACAACTCGGGTTGTACTCATGTAACCTAAGTGGGGGGTTTTAACGGCTGTTGCCCGATCTAGCGAAGCCCATTGAATTTCCAAATTTATCGTTTTCCTCTCTTGGATGCATTCCGATGTGTCTATACCCACCAGGTATCTTTCAGCATCATCCGCATCTTGCCGGCGTTGTTGTGGGACGAAGGCTGTACGTGAGCTTTAAAGGAAATAGTGATATTGCTGATGATAACCTTTGATCTTCGGAAAGGGCCGAGGCAAGACTTCGCATTTTCTGAGGCTCGGTACCGGCAAAATTGTTAGTCTTTTTTCTTCAACCATTTTGCTTCCTGGCAGCAACTAGATTTTTACTATTAGAAAAGTACAATGATATGGTCTGATATTTGTTTACAACCATCATTCTTTCACGGGACTACGGGTAGTCAATATGTCCTCATGAACCAAGCAAGCCAAGCCAACGCTTGCAGGCTTAGGCGGTGAGACAACAATGGTGCAATACTTTACACGCTGAAGCCATATCTCCAAAGCATGCCTTTGACCCATATGTTCATGGGAAACAAGCTCAGATGAAGAATACGAGAAGCAAATTTTCAATGCAGGCAAAGATGAATACATGTTAGCGTGACATTCATATCGACGTTCTTAGTTTCCCCGGCGTCTTACCTTGCAAAGTTGCTAGCTGATTATCATGTAATCTACATTGCAGAAGATCTATCAGGGTCTTGTCCCAAAGATTGGGATTTAGCTCCGCTGCCTTTTGCGCTCCACTTCATGTCTGATGAGATTTGCAGCTCCGAGTACCGCCTACCTGTTGTCACAACGGTGCAGTCACTCATTCTAACTCGAAAGTTTGACAAGCTCGGAAGACGGGGTCTTGGCTTCAAGTCTGGCCACGCCCATGTCGCAACTCAGAGGAAGCCCTCAATTGCTCTTGCATGCTTTCATCTATCTCTTCATCTATCCAGCCAAGTCATCAATACATCACGGAAAAATGCTTACTACCTTTGGCGGTGCATGTGATAACTTCATCAATTTTCTTGCACCAATCACAGATGACATGGTTTGAAGTATCCAAGTATATAACACCAAGGTTTTCTCCGGAAAAATCATACTCAACAACAACTGCTCCCTTTGTATACATCGATTATCATGTATTTCTCAATCCCAATCCTTTCATTTGCGGCCACTCTTCTAGGAGCAGTCTCTGCCGCTCCCCTAGAGGCACGAGCGGTCTCTAGGACCTCTGCGCCATCAGGTGCTATTATTGTCGACGCAACGGGCAAAACATCAGGATCATACACAACATTTCAAAAAGGAGTAAATGCCCTCTCCACCACTACCACCACACCTCAATATCTCTTCATCTACCCTGGAATCTATACCGAACAAGTATATGTTCCAGCCCTCAAATCCAACCTCACAATCCAAGGGTATACTACAGATGCAAGTACCTATGCTGGTAACCAAGTCACTTTGACTTACAACCTTGCACTCAAAGATACTACCTCCGATGATTTGACAGCCACTTTACGTCAATGGAACAAGAACACCAAAGTCTACAATCTTATTATTAAGAATACATTCGGACATGTCAATATCAATGGTCAAAATCTTGCTATCTCTGCCCGTAAGTCCATTGATCCTATATTTCTTTCATCTAGCTCAGCCTGAAGTGTTCCTCTCCGCGAGAAAATGTATCGTCTACCAACTTTCAGCTTTGAAGCCCTAAGATTCTATTAGATACAAGGACTAATTCACGCTATTCATAGACACCACAAATCAAGGATATTATGCTACTCAATTCATTGGATACCAAGATACTATTCTTGCCAACACTGGAACTCAACTCTATGCCAAATGTCTCGTCGTCGGTGCCATCGACTTCATCTTCGGTCAAACAGCTCAAGCCTGGTTCGAGAACAACGACATCCGTACCATTGCTGCCGGGTCTATCACTGCATCTGGACGTGCCTCTGACAGTAACCCATCTTGGTATGTGATCAACAACTCGAACATTCAAAACATCGATTCCAGCGTCACCACCTACAACAACTACTTGGGACGTCCATGGGAAAATTATGCCAGAGTCGTTTTCCAAAACTCTTACTTGGGAAACAACATCAAGGCTGCTGGATGGAGTGTTTGGAGTAGCTCTGCCGCTAATACTGAGCACGTTGTCTTTGGAGAGTAGGTCGTCCATCTTATTTCACATAGAAAAATGCTAACTCTCAGTAGATATGGCAACACTGGACCTGGTTCCGTTAATTCCGAAGGACCAAGAGCAAACTTCAGTTCCTCCATCAGTGAAGCCGTTCCAATCACCACCGTTTTGGGGAGTGCTTATTTGAATGAGTGGTGGGTTGATAGCAGTTATTTGTAAAGAGATAACTTTGGGCTTCTGTTGAAGAACGAAATCCAATCGATTGAGGTGAAGGGGCAGTGATGAATGAACCAAAGGATTCCAGAAATAAAATGGTTGGACCTGAAGATATTAGATAACTAATTAATGAATGATGATTCACATTCATTTGCCGATTCTGTGTGTTTGCTATGGTGAGGCTTATACTATTCTTCAAGACTTTCCGTCTCATGGGCAGATGACTAACATATCATGAGCGGCTTTCAATGCACTCCCGACTGCGATTCGACAGCATTGAATCGTGTATTCCCTGCTCTGTTTTATTTGACAACCCCATATACTCATTGCTCAATCCATTCCGTAGATACCGAGAGCCCAAAAATGACGATCCCTTGAGATCAGATGCCGATACCATAAACCTAATCCAGACACCATCAACATACTACGACTATCCCTACAGCCCATAATATATACGCATACTCTTATAATTGAATAATAATAAAAAACAATAGACACCACAACAATACTGGAAACCCCATATCCATAACCATCCAACGAATCAATCTCATTCCCCATGCTATGTTCTTCATATTTTCAAACTTTCCACGTCATTTCAACAAATCGCAATAACGATTCAATCCGAATTAGTGTAGGGGTTAACATAACTCGCTTTCATGGTTCTCAACCAGATCCGAGTAGCCCCGGGTTCGATTCCCGGATTCGGAATTTCCCTTTTGCACTTTTTTGATCTTTTTTTTGGAGATAGATATCTAACTACCTAGGTATGCATATATGTCTTCTTCAACTATCTGAGTGCGGACATCTATTGTTTTTGTGTGGATTTTGGCGGGGTAGGTGGCCGAGGTGGCGAAAGGGAGTGGGGTAGGAGGAAGAGGAGCCCGAGTTGAGCCGCGCTGCGAGAGGGAAAATTGTACATGCGAAAACCATATTGATAGATAAGTACATAAAAAATAAATCAATAAATGAAACCAGCAATTTTGATACTCTGATTCATAATTTTAGATATCCATCTATCTCCTCACCATGCAAGAGAGCACACGCTACATACATAATTTTCCCGCTCTCCTCGCAGCTCCTACTACAACCACCACATGAAGTAATGCTAACAAATGCTAAACACTCCATCCACCACCGGCTACCAAAAATCTAGGAGTTGAACTTAGATGGACTATAGACAAGAGGTTTGTTTGTACTGATTGTATTTACATTTTTGCAAATACACAGACCCAGGAGCAAGAAAGGAAAACAAACGCCCTACGCCTCGCAATCCTCATAATATCTTTTGTTCTTTTATTCTAGGCAGTGAAGATTTGAATACCATAGTGCCTCCCTCACCTCTGCTCTATGTGTGGACTATCTTGATATAATCAATTCTATACTTGACTGTGTATCCTGCTCTGTCTTGTCCTTGCTAGTCTATCGTTCGCGTTGGACTAGTGTCCATTCATACTATTGATATCGTGATTAGCTTGCACCCTCATGAAACCAAGGAAAGAAAATTCAAAACTCACCACTCTCCCCTCTTCATCCCCAGTATAAACTCCCTTCTCCATGGGCACCACACACGTAATACCCGCCTCCACATTTCCATTGATCGTTGTCCTTCTTCCATGCGGACCTGCCGATCTATTGACACTGGCATCTCTCCTTACTTCATCCACATGATCTAATCTCTTCACCAATTCTAATTCCCATTTCCCACTTTTCTTACCCACAATTTTACGCCATATACATACTATTCCTCTTTTATGTCCCGTGAATAATAATGTACTCTCCAACCATTCATTCCCTGTACCTTCGTAAAATGCACAACTATGTACATAATCATCATGTCCAAGATCTGCACAGACATTTTGCTCGAGTAGTGCTTCACCGTTCAAGGTATAGAGAGCAACCTTTTGACCGCGACATAACATGATATCACCAGTTACATCATTAATACGTGCGCATTCGACAGCACGGCCATGAGTGAGTTTGCGAACGAATTCTAAACGATTAAGATCCCAGAGAAGAACAACACCGTCGGATGATGCGCTGAGCATTGTACTGAAGGATTTACTGACTGCGAGAGTAGTCACGGGTGTTTTGTGTCCGAAGAGAGAAGAGCGAGGTTGGAGGTCAACAGTTTTTGACGAGGATGTTACGATTGTATGAGCCGAAATGACACAATCTTCGCCAGCTGTGATGAGTGTTTGTGAAGATGCAAAAATGACGGTAGATAATTGACCTTGATGAAGGTTCTCGAAAAGTCCAGCGAGCTTTTTGGAGTCATTGAAGTAAAACCGGACGCTGTTATCGGCGAAGCCCCATTCTAGGTATTTATCATAGCTTGGAGGAAGATTTAGACGGAATGCCGTGGAACAGAGAAGTCGATCTAATTTGGCGGAGTAAGTGAGTGATGCGACACGCTCGTGACTTTCTATCAACGGAAATGGTAGTCGAGTTAGAGAATCTGCTGAGGTATCCAGTCTCTTTGTTTTTTGACGCATATCTTCTCTGGATTGATGAGGTTTAGAAAATACTTGATGAGGCGTTTGACCAAAGTTATGAATGATTCCAATCGTAGCTAGCCTTTCGACTGGATCTTCAATAGTATCAAGATTCTTTGCACCGTGATATGAAAGATGGTGGAATACGTTCACACTTTCTATAGCGGCTTCTCCACGTTGCTTGCAACCAAAGATAAGATCAACCCACTGGTGTAAATTCTTACTCACATATGGGCTTTCTAAAGCCTCGCGATGTTTAGCAATGAATATTTTAGGATCGCCCTTAGCCCACGGTGGAAGGTCAACAGTATCTATTCCCCCACCGTCCCCTTGTCGCAAGCCAAAATTGTATCCATTGTTATTCGTAAGAAATTCTGGAAGGTAAAAGAATTCCGGTATGAGCTCTCTCACATCAGACATGTTATTCCTGGATGCAGAATCCCAAGCTTTCGCGATTGAATAGAACAATCGATCAGGATGGTCAAAATTACCACCTTGAAGTAGCAAGTATGATTGAACAAAAGGTTGAAGTCTGATCAAATACGATGTAACAATCATGGCTGATGAGTAATGAGTACCATAATGAAAGGCGGGAGTAGTGCTATCCATTTCCGCAAATGTTTTATACCTTTCAATAAAGTCCGCTTGCCGGGAGTTGTGCTGCGCACCCATCGGCTTTGATAGGTCTCGGAATGAAGCAGGATTGTTCAGATCTAGCTCTCCACTAGTATAATCGGCCAGAACCCAAGGGAAGACAGGATATTGTGTAAGATCATTAAAAGTACGACCGGCCATTGTATTGACGAGCATCAAATAGTGAAAATTTGATATTTCTCCTTTCGCCCATCGTCGCATTGCTGGATTCCAAGCAGAAGAGTTGAAGATGCTGCCGAATTTGGAGCCGAAAGTAGTTGGTGTATCGTCTGATACCTTGAGAGCCTCAAGACGCCAGCCATCTTCTGGATTTGGTAAACCAGAGCTACCATTAGTATGTGGAGCTTTTGAAGAAAGCTTTGAAAATAGATCATCTCTAAGAGTTGCCGAGATAGCTGTAAGCAAATAACTACGACCATCTGTGAAAAAGACTTCCACAGCAACATCTCGAAATAAGAAGCGACGTTTAGAAATACTGATGACATCGCTCCACTTCCAACTTCTTGATTCTTGCTCAGTTCTGAGAGGCTGGGTGGTTTTCTCGCTTGCCTTGTGACCAGCAATCATTTGTAGATAAGGATCTCGTTCCTCTTTAGGAGCCATCGCAACATTCACGATTTCTCCGTCAGATCTCTGGAAGACATTATCAATCAGATACAGGGAATCCTTGCCTAGAATCAAAAGGCCCTCAACTGCTTCGAGTCCAATGATTCTAGAGATGTTGAAAACGTGTTGAACCGAATCTCCTCTCTGAAGACTACGCATGACCTTTCTATTTTTGTCTTCAAAGCCATCATCGCCATCGCCAGGCTCATTAGGATCATCAACAAGCTCAAAATCTTCCTCTTGAACAACATTATCCGGAGTTTCATTTGACGTTTCGTCTGATGGGTTTTCAGTATTCCTCTCAGATCCATTTTGGCCATCAAAATCCCTAGGTGGTGACACTGCAGACCTCGGTGTTGAATCAATGTGCTGAGACGGGCCGAGGCCTCCAACTTTAGTGTTAACCTGTAACAGATCATTTGCGTTTGTCTCAGTGGGACGTCTTTTGGGTTTATAATCATAATTTGGAGCAGCGCGATCTGGTAGCATACGAAGGCGCATGCGATTCCGACCCTCGGTCCTGTCCAATTTCCACTTCAAGGGAATTCCGCGATCAAGTACAGCACAAGGTCTGTGGAGTTCTCGATCCATTCTCGAAAAAGTAGAAACGAGGAAACTGAAATTATCTTGTTGATCCTGTTGTGCTCTTTGGTGCTTAAGATGTTCGGATGCATAAATGTTCTTCATCCATAAGTTTGATGCAAGATCATGACGAAACAATATATCTTCATCATTAAGATCATCCGCATGCCACTGCTTGAGCTTTTCGCGTCGTTTAGTAACGCGGACTTTAAGAGTATCTTCGTTCTTTTCATTTTCCGCGTTAACAAAGTCTTCCCAAGCACGAGACATTGCACCAAAGAACAGAGCATCAAGCTCAGCTCTGAAGCTATCAACCCATGCCGCAAAAGTCTCATTGTCTAACTCGGTAAGCTTCTTAAATCCTGAATCTAGATGCTTGTATTGGCCAGGCATAGCATGACGTAGCATATTAGATGTTTCTTCGGGTTTCTGAACAAGCAATATGCGCCAAAGATTTGCAGCCGCCAAGCGTATACTTTCTTTATTGTCAACCAATTTGACATAAAGCTGGTAGCAAATGAGTTTTAAGAAGTTATCTTCGGTTACATCGGCAGACAGAACTACGGTTTGCCAGTAGAGCAGCTTATCCATAAATGCTAATGCTTCCGACTCGGGAGCTTCTGGCACATCAAGCTCAGATAGACGAAGTAAAACGACTCGAAGGAAAACACTTTTGATCGAAGCAATGGCTTGACTACACAGGCGGACACTTTTGATCTTGGACACTTCGGGTCGTTCCAAGTATTCTAGTATTGTTCCTGCAAAATCCAATAGTGTTTCAGCTCCGCCAAGAAACCAGCCTTCGAATACAGCTTCACCAATATGCAGAACAAAACGAGCCATGTTCTGGATGACTCTAGGCTCCCATAATGATTTTTGATCCAACTGAACAGTAGTCCCGAGCTGAGATATCATGTTGCGCAGCAGGTACGATTCAAAGTATGCTTGGTGTTCTTGGAAGCCCGGAGGAACTTTGAGAAACAATCCAAATCCGGGAAACTCTTTACGGGCCATTACTTGATCAATAAAGACATTGACAACTAGTTCTAGCATGCCTTCAACTATTGCGTTACTAACTTTTTGTGCGACGATCCTTTTCTTGGGCGACATGATCAAACTGAGTCTAGCAGAAGACGGACTATACTCCGAGGGGCGAGATGTTAACAACACGAATGATGATCCCCGGCGAAGAGGCTTTGCTTTGAGATTCGTAGGACTAGGTGGAAGGAGAGTCTCTACTGTTGATGTACGGACAATAGGTGTAGGCATAGCTGATACACGAGACACCGGTCTTATGATGACATCGTCGCCTTCAAAAGTCAACGCAGAGTCACGAGAGTTTAATTCCGTCTCCGGACTAACAGAATCCGAACTAACAACTACGGGGAATAAAACGGCAAGCAGATACCTGACATAGTCTGAAGATAAGGCGAAATCCCTAAAGTCTTGAGATTTGCTATGCAAGTCTGCGAGAAATCGGATGATTGTGTGTAGAATAACAACTTGCTCCGCCAATCGTTCTCTTTTAGGCAGCTGGGATTCTATTCCATGGTTAGTATAAGGCCCTGCAGGAAAACCAGCAGTAGACTTACGTCGAGATTCAAGTTCTTTCGTAAGAGACATTGATCTATGTCGAGTCGGAGGCTTAAGCGTATCTGTTGGTGAATCCTGATCTCTTCCATTGCCCTTATCGTGAAGTGGCGAGTCAGGGTCATCTTGATTCCGTAAGACGTCCTTCAAGCCATGCTGCATCATCGTCATGATTACGGGCAGCACATTAGGATATACAATTTTGCCGGTGCCGAATGTTTCCAACAGGTTGTATAACTCGAATGGCTGATCGAAATCAATATTCGCGACGTCATGTCCAAATAAGATACCAAAACAAATGGGCCATAATGTTGGGATATCCCACCACCTCTTCAATCTATGACGCATAATGGTAAAGCCTCCGGTTTTACTCGAGAATTTCGACGCATAGTTAGAGCCATGGACCACCAAAAGACGGGCCAATATCTTTGAACCAAGAACCACAACCTGGGGGTCATCCTCCGTTAAGAGGTGTAAAAGCCACTAATAATGTTAGGAGGAAACCTCAATAAGTACAAACTTGAAATAATTACCTTATTTGTCACAGTCCTAGCAAATTTTCGAATGTTTGAAGAGGTGCCTTCCTCACACAAAAGCTCAGTATACATACCGAGCACTGAATTTCCAAGCTGCCTCTTGGTCATTGTCGGCGAAGCTATCTCATTCACATCGAAAACAGTGCTAATAGTTGGCCTTCTTGGTCCCCTTGATATTGTGCCGGATCGCGTTGGAAGCGTTGACCCAGAATTCTTGGGGGTTCTCGAAGCAGAACCCGTAGGCTTGTGATATGCATAGGTGATGAAAAGAGCAAGAGAACGAAAGACTTCTGCCGTCATATTACATTTCACTAAACTGGTGAGTGCTTCCATAAAAGAAGGGAAAACATCCGCGGGGAACAGTTCGGCCTTCAGAGCGTCTAAAAATCTTTTCACAATCCCTGAGAACAATTAGCCAAGGTAATCAATTCCAAATGTGTGTAGTAAACTTACGCATTCGAAATAAGCGACGAGAATTGAATTCATGGTACTTGCTGTTGACACCAAACGTAATAAATTGTTTGTAATACAACCTTTGGGTGAGTGAAGTTGTCTTCCGCCACATATCAAAGTCGACGAGTAAGATTCGGTATGCAAGAGGATTGATTATAAATGATTCCTCGGGTGTCTCATGGCTATATCCAACAAACTCCAGTACCAAGCTCAGCAATTGGAAACCAAGTTTATTGCGATCATCTTCGCTCATGTTCGAGGTGTCTGAGTTACCTGTCCTCGTCGCAATAACAGTTCCGGCACCCATCTTGCCGCGGAGAAGGGCACCCAATATTGCGTAGCCGTTTTCTCGCTCCATAGCCTCGCTGTTTCGCCAGCTTGCATTAATACTCTCAAATAGATTTTCAACAGCCCGAACAATACTTTCTTTTGTGTTGGCGGCTTCAACCAACTTTAGTCCGATTGCAGTAAACCCTCCAAGTCTCCACATTGCATCATCCAAAGCTTGGGGAACGATGACTACTGGTTCGCCTGTCAAGATCGCAGTGCCATGGGCTCTAGTCAAGGCATCATTAATGGCAGGCGTGGATCCATTAATAGCTATAGAAGTACCACTATTGTGTGTCAACTGGAATAAGTTATTTGAAGCTGTTCGATTTAGCCCCCTTAAAAGTTGAGATTCCGGTCCTTTTAGGCGGTCTTCCTCTCCAAGAATAGCGGTAGGCAGAATGCTTAGTATGATGCGGGACTCCGGTACTAATATGCTAGCCTTTCCACGTATAGCTTTGAGGATATCCGAATTATCTTCCTTCCCGGGATGCATGAGCTCCTGACGCATTCCCAAAGCCGCAGATGCCTCATATGTTTGGAACGATCCCATGCAATCTTGAAAATTTCCATTATATCGTGGCCCTAAGCGATAGTAGACAGCTACTAAATCGTCGCTAATCACATCCTCGATGAGATGTGCTGAAGCCAAAGACCAACGAGAAAAGACAACGCCACGCCCGAGACGAGTAGAGAGATCCTGAGGAGTTCCAAGGAAGGCTTGAACTGGGTGTGCCTTCGCACTGGTTGAGGTGAAGGACGCGAAACTCTCCGTGCTAGCATTTGTGGGTGGCGGAGGAGCCGGATATTGACATTTGACTTGCTCCGCGAATTCCCCATCGACATAAAGAATTGCTTTACTCGAAGTCATTGTTCTAGGACGTCGATGAACTATTGCAATATGATACCAACGGCGTTCTTGAAACGTTGTCGATTTGAACCTGACACTAGGTCGCGATGAGGAAATAGATGTTTGTAAAATGAAATTGTGAGTATCCTGCTCAAGATACGCGAGTAGAAAACAGGTTTGAGTCTCATCATAAGCCCCGAAAATAGTTGTATGAGCATTTGGATCAAATTTATCCACGAAAATCCAGGCCGTGAAGGTATAACCTCCCACCGTTGATGGTGGTGGAAAAGACCTTGCTAGCGTAGGAAGTTCTATTGAAGCAAAGCCATTTAAAGAAAGGTCAAATTGGATATACGCAGGAGTGTGAGATTTCTTCATCGTGCGAAGCAAGAATTCGCTGGCAATAGGAGACTGGCTAGAGACTAGATATTGGGCATCATTTAAGGAGCTTATACCGAGTGACATTAAAGAACCGCACAAGTTTTCGACGGTCTGTCTTTCGGTGGTAGCAAGGGGAGAATCAGAATCGAAAGCAAGCGGAAGCAGAGTAGATAGTACTCCCGTCGAATGCAAAGCCAACAAACTGTGATTTGAAATTGAAGAAATTTTGGACAGTGTTAGAATAACAACCAATGCAGCTGGATTTACCGGAGCATTGGAAATTCGAGGTATGGTCTTCCAGAAGTCTATGATAACTGGAACAATATCTGCATGATGTAGCAACGAACTCTCGCGCAGGATGGCTTGTAAACGAGTCTCCACCAACTCGAGAATTTCTTCATCGCTCTTGATGTTTTCAGACTCGCGTTCCGGATCTTGGGGTGCGATTCCTGTGTCTTTGACATCTTCAGATGTTACGAGATCATTCGTCTCGATTCTTGAGGGACGATGTTCAGCAGCAATTTGACATAAAGTCTCAAATCTCTTGTCGTCCAAAGCGAATGCAAGAAGCCGCCCAAAAAGCTGTGCTTCGGTCCATATATCAGACTCACTACCACCAATACCAATACTAGCTATTATTTGCTCTAAAGCAGCCCATCCTCCTCCTTCTACCCGGCGCTTGAAGTATCTCCTATTCCCATGATGATCACGAAATGTTTGTGCCAACACCCCCAATATGTTTTCGAGAAGATCAAAGAATCGAATTTTATCTTGCTGGTTCCTCTTGAAAGGATTATAGAAACCCGAGAACGCTCGAAGGGTGCTTAATAGGATTTGGTATCCATGAAGATGTCTAAAGTCGTCTTTTGATCGCGATGTTTGCGAGGATGCTATCAGAAACACCCGAATACTCTGAACTTGATCAACAATTGATGGCAGATCGGGATATGCATTCTCAAGGCGCTTTTGGAGGGCTGTAGATAGACCATCTAGGAGGACTTGTAGTTCTGCGGTAGCTTTTGTTGCTTCAGGTGGGTTTGATGCCGCAGTCGACGAGCGATGTCTTCGGCCTCGTGTCGACATATTCCACCCCGCCTATGTCCAGCTTAGGGGATCAATCCTTCTACTTGCCCCGCATTAGTTATTGGAATTATCTCGGTTTCCAAAGATTTCGTTCGATCCTGCGTCCTTTGGGAAGATTGGAATCTAATAAGTTGTGATCAAGGTTGACTTGCATCGAAGTTGGGCTTTGTTTGATACAGGTACGCGAGGTGGGGATACACGAAACTGGGTTAACAGTATCAACCCAATTTTGACACTTTGTAGAAATGTGAAGAAATGTGAGATGTAGTGAAAATAATCTCAATTGTCAAATTACCATAAGTTCATTGTAGATAGGTCCAAGGTGATTGCTATTCACTCATCAATTCATGATGTCAGCCTTATGAACATCATCGTCAATGGCAAGGCCAGCCAGCTTAAAAGTTGTAGCCTTAAAACTAATGCCTAAATATCGATATCGGATGTAAGTCATGACTGAATGAAGTGAGAATGAAATCTACAAAAATGTGTACTGTGAACGATTCTTTTCTTGATTCTTTTGGGGTTTCCAAATATCTGTATCTGTTTGCATCGAAATTTATCGTCGTGGAACAATTTCTGGTCAACCATATGCATTAATTCCGGAAGCCATTAATATTGCCAAAACCCCTTTCGGAGCTTTTGAGCTACCTAGGTATCTATGAGCTATCAACAATCCAAAATCAGGGATCACGTGTCAGCGCTGCAACCAGCCTGGAGCCGGAATGTGCTCTGACACATGCTCAGCGCTTCTGACTCAATATTGAATTTATTGATAGAAATAGTGATAGAAATCATGCGGAGGATTGTCTCACTGGGGGTGAATGGGGTGAATTCAAAAGACCAGATACAGGAAAGATGGGAATTAATAGATAGGAGGAGGCTAGGAAGCTAAGAGGTCCCGCTATGCGATGACTAGAAATGCATTCATTTGAGTGGTCTCGTGTGAGCTTGACCGTTTCAATTTGATCGTGTGGATTTCCTTTACAGCGACACTGCTACACAACCTCGACGACTATCAACTCAAAGATCAATCACATCATGAAGAAAGCCACACCGAATAATACCGAATGGGTGGTGGATTGCTTTCCAGTAATCCATGGATATTTGAGATATGTGAGACTTTGTGTTATCAATCATATCTTCACATCTTCACATCTTGCCTTCATATCACGGTGAAAGCCACACCGAATGAAACTGACAAGTAGGTAGGTAGGGTATGACACCGCCTCGACCGCCTTATTGTTTAGAACAGGTAGCTCGAGAATCGGCGGGTGTTTCTTTTGGTTCCTAGGTAGGTGTATTGGTAGAATTTCATTGATTGACCCCGAGTTTCGCTACAGAGTACATTTCTCGTACCTGAATGATGGTGTGGAGACCCAGCCAACCCAGCCAGCTTATAAATAAAATACTACGTACCTGGTTAGATACGACTAGCTGACTGGCTCAAGAGTCAAGACCGGGTAGTTAAGACCCTGAGTGAGCGCAAGCTGTTGGTCGCCTTAAACTCTATCATCATAATATCACAACAGACATGGGCTTGGAAGCTCCCAAAAGCTGGATAACTCAACCGTTCCAAGGTTGGTATGAAACCAGGATCATCGCAACTTTCCTATCTAATGATTCAAGGGATAGGACTGAATGACTTACTCGTACATCCTACATTCATAAACCACATAAATTACATATCATTGCCGCGGTGCTATCACATGATTCACATCCGGCGATCTTCATTCTATGGTAGCTGGAGAGACTAAAATCAATGCATCTCTTGCATACATACACCTTTAATAAAACGCCACCGTTATTACATTTCCCATACAACAACACAGCATTTTGAGTTTCACGACATTGTTTGATCATTACAACCAGAGATAACACGATAGATAAATAGATCACGATACCGATACCTAGATCACGATACTGCAGATCCGTATCTACCTAGTAAACTTTCGGTCTAAAAGGTCCAAAGTACGGGGAGAACGACAGCACGAAGGAACGAAGGAACAAAAGGGAAGAGAGAAACAGTACCTACATTGGAAGGTAAGACAACATAGAAACTAGGATCTCTAATCTATGTTCATAATCCATTATTGTCCCCATCCTCTTGCATTGTTTTGTTTACATGATCGGATTGTCTCACACCCTAATGGATTATTAGAGCTACGATAGCTTTCTTACCCGTACCCACACCCTCACCCACACCCACGCCCACACCATACTTCGTACTGTTCCTTCTAAGCCGACAAGCCTCCCCAAATTCCCTCCCTTATCGCTTCGTCAGTTCGGTCTGCGTGATCCATTCGTCACTGATAAACTCAGACGCTAAGTCCCAAAGTGGTTTAGACCCAAACGAGCATCGCCCCCGTAGTTGCCTAGTGCATCTTTGTCGCTTCCCCGAGCTTCGCAGTTCATGTAGTACTTCAACACCTCTCAAGCCCTCCATCATCATTCATCATTCATCTCTCATCATCTTCTTCTTTCTCATCGATACTCTTTATCTCGAAGACAGCATTATCACTGTTCTTCATCCATCACTCTTGTCATTTCTAGATACTAAATCAAGCTTCATATAAACTCTTTGTTTTCTCTCATACATCACATCTATTCATCATGCGTGGAATCTTCAGCGTATCGCTTTTGCCGCTATTGGTCTCCGCGGCACCAACATTCAGCACCGAAACCATTCACGAAGGTGTTGCTCCTCTCCTTTCATCAGCAAACTCTGTAGAGGTCCCAGCCTCCTACATTGTTGTATTCAAGAAGCACGTCACCGCGGCATCTGCCAGTGAGCATCACAGCTGGGTTCAAGACATCCACTCAAATGGCGAAGCTCAACGAACCGAGCTCCGAAAGAGAGGTCAATTCCCAATTACCACCGATATCTTCGAGGGTCTCAAGCACACATACAACATCGGCAGTGACTTTTTGGGTTACTCCGGTCACTTTGATGACTCGGTCATCGAGGAGGTCCGCAGACATCCTGATGTAAGTACAATCCTTCTTATCATTGCAGCCCCAATTGCGTGCTTTCTACTCTGGATTTCGTTTCCGATTGGATTTAGTACATCCTTATCTTCAAGAATCCCTTTATCCTCATACTTCCAACAAAGCCCAGGCAAGTCTATTGTTACCGGCTCAATCGCGTACAGCGACAAGGCTGCACGTGATGACTCATCGTCGTCAATTCATGGTATATTCTTTTTACGTAACAATTGTGCTAATGATTATTCTTGCAGGTCGAATATGTTGAGAAGGATTCCGTCGTACACACATTAGAGGACCCATTAGGCGAGGTTGAGAAGAGCGCTCCTTGGGGTTTGGCTCGTATCTCCCACAGAGATACCTTGACCTTCAGCACATACAACAAATATTTGTATGCCGCTGATGCCGGCGAGGGAGTCGATGCTTATGTTATTGACACTGGAACCAACACTGAACACGTTGATTTCGAGGGTCGTGCACAATGGGGCAAGACCATCCCAACTGGCGATGCCGATGAGGATGGAAACGGACACGGAACTCATTGCTCCGGTACCGTTGCTGGTAAGAAATATGGTGTTGCTAAGAAGGCCAATGTCTACGCCGTCAAGGTCCTCAGATCAAACGGTTCCGGTACTATGGCAGATGTTGTAAAGGGTGTTGAATGGGCTGCCAACGCCCACACCGAAAAGGCTAAGAAGGGAAAGAAGGGCTTCAAGGGTTCTGTTGCCAACATGTCTCTCGGTGGTGGCAAATCTCCAGCTCTTGACCGTGCCGTTAACGGTGCCGTCGATGCTGGTATCCACTTCGCGGTCGCTGCCGGTAACGATAACGCTGATTCTTGCAACTACTCCCCAGCTGCTGCTGAGAACGCCATCACTGTCGGTGCTTCCGCCCTCGATGATTCCCGTGCCTACTTCTCCAACTATGGTACTTGCAACGATATCTTTGCTCCTGGTTTGAGCATTCTTTCAACCTGGATTGGTAGCAAGTATGCCGTCAACACCATCTCCGGTACTTCCATGGCCTCTCCCCATATTGCTGGTCTCTTGGCCTACTACCTTTCCCTCCAACCATCTAGCGACTCTGCTTACGCTGTTGCTGAGATTACCCCTAAGAAGTTGAAGGAGAACATCATCGCCATTGCTACTGAGGGTGCTCTTTCTGACGTTCCATCCAACACCAAGAACGTTCTTGCATGGAACGGTGGTGGATCTTCCAACTACAGCTCCATCATTAAGGCTGGTGGATATGTTGCCAAGGCATCCAAGGAAGTTCCAACAACTGTTGAACTCTTGGAGAAGGCCATCGAGAATGACTTCAACGTTCTCTCTGGCAAGGTTGTCAAGGGCACTGAGTCCATGGTTTCTAAGACCGAGAAGCTTTCCAAGAAGATTCAAAAGATGGTTGATGAGGAGATCAACGAATTTTTTGAGGAGTTCAGCTCTTAGAGTTAGATACATCTCGCCACATATTTTGGCTTAGATCTTGATGGACATTGTCCTTCACTATTTTCTTATGAGTTTGTTATGATGGTCATGGGTTGGAGCCGGATGGATGTTACTATATGCATCTTTTGATTACTGGAATTTTCATTGCGTTTGCGGATAGGAACACATTAAGGGGGTCTCGTCGTAAGACTCATTAGACCAGTATTTGTATTAAATTGTATCAACTCGTTATTTCCACTAATAGCATATCTATCATGATAATATATTATTTCGTGACTTCTAAATAGTGACTTCCAAAATTTGTTCAATGAAAATGGTTGGATGTAGTCAATAATAGCCATTGTGTCCATGCCTCTTTCCTCAACCAGCGTTGACGGAAAGAACTCTTGTTACCTTCCCTCGCATGACCAAGTCAATCTCTCCTTTTTATATGTCGTGTCTTGTCTTCTGTTGAAAGTCGGCATTCACAATTTTTGGGTTCAATCAACTTTTGGTTAATACATGCATGCATGTAATAGCTGTATCACGCATTTAATTTCGATTCATTCAAAATTACCTCCTTTTGTAAGCATTCCATAAAGGCTATGCGCCGTCGAAATAGTTCTAGTCGACCTAGTCGAAGCAAATCAACATTATCAACCTATCCAAAACACGATTTTGTCGACCCTGAAGAGTCTCGTATACATGCTCATGCTGCAGCAATGCATGCTTTTAACAGGGCCCAAGAAAGGAATTGTACTAGTTCTGGAAACAGGAATGGACTTTCACGAAGCAATACGACAAGTCAAGAAAATCAATGGTGGTCGAGTCAACAAAATAGTTCTACGAGTCTTGATAACCCAGTGCTCAAACGTCAGCAGAGTGTTCGGTTTGCAGGCCCAAATGCAGTAAAGAGACGCCAATCAACGGGGAAAAGAACGGATCCCCCAGTACTGAACCAGAAACTAAGTACTGCTACTTTGAGACCTGTTGTGATGACCACGAATACTCCGGTCCCAGCAGCGTATCGTCCACCAAGCCGTTCTTCTTCAATTGGCAAAGCTTCACTTGGCAAATCAGCCATTCGGGACTACTCTGCTCATAATTACGTTACCAACTTGGACTTCGACGAATATTATACACAAGAAAATGACGTAGCCTCGACACCATCTTCATATCGGCGAATCAGAAAGTCAAAGTCTATGTTTAGCCCCTTATCGGCGCCAACCAACGTCTTCTATAGCAATGGCAGCCCTGACCGCACCAATTGTTCATCCACTCCGCGGACTCTAGAGAACAATGCTCCATTGCGAGCTCCGAAGTCAATGAGCTTCCTCCGAGGGGGGAGGGATTACTTCAAATCTACATCGTCTTGCGAAAGAAATGACGATGCGGTTCAAATGGCCAGGGATCGATTCTTTGTTCAAGCCACTCAACAAAGACTTCGGGAGCAGCCATCTTTTCTTTTCAGGTCGAAGGCACAACGGCAGGAGAAGCCTTTTCGAAAGTCGGTTCGAAGTAGCAGTGGAAAGTCTGCAGCGACCTATAATTCGGCCGAATCTATAAAAGAGGGTGGCCTAAGAGCCAAAGCTCGCAAGGTATCACAAGGATTAAAGAGCAAGCTCCGGAGAGTATTTGGCCGCAGCAAGGAAGAGCCCGTCGCTATTCCCAATCAACAAGTTGACGCCATCGAGACTCACGTCCGAGAATACGGTGGGAAATTATCATCAGATCATGAGTCATTCGATGATATTCCTAGGCCCGATGAGGCCGCATTTGCTCATGTGGCAGCTAGAGTCCCATCATTACGTGCTATTGCTTCGAGTCAGAGACTTAGGTCACAGAGTGGTAGTATTCGTAGCTTACGAAGTGATCATAGTGACGAAAAATCCAGAGTAACAAGCTGGACAAATAGTACAGCTAACAATACTGTCACCAGTCAAGGACTGCGCCCTCAGCCCAGCAGAGATCAAAGACTTTCTATCATCAATGAATCAGGTACGCATATCTCTAAAGCAACATTTCATCGCCCAAATGTAAAGAATCAACACCCAGCTTATCCTGCATTTCATCGTCCTGGCCATGTCCAACCAATTCGATCAGGAGGTATAGATAGCGCCAGACTTTGCTCTGCTTTGATGAAGCGTCTCGACGAGAATAGCCCAGAAGCACTACTCGCAAAGTCAAAAAAAGCTAGTACCGATACTCTCGGACTTGAGAAAGCACCCAGACGAAGTAGCTCCTTTACCAACCCTCTTTCACAGCCCAAGCCATGGATTCGACAGGTCCCCCCTGATTGTGATTCAAGCAGTCAGAGCCAAAATCAACATCCTGACTTATACCGTTCGAGCAATGCTGATCCAATACCCACCACAAGCGGCGAAGAATTATTTGGTCAGGCAATTGGCTCCGAGCATCAATTTAATTCTGCAGATTTACCATTATGTAATACACAATCTCAAAATCAAGACGATGTGTTTTCCTCACACCCAGGATCTAGTCATGGTAACTCCTTCCACCAAGTTAACTCATTTCATCAAGACAACTCAATCTATCAACGTGCTCATCAGCGTAATTCGAAGTCTGTACACAGACGTCACTTATCCGATATTGATGCCGCATATGACCCTGTGCAAGACCCTTCAGGGCTTACTCCACAGCAAGTCGCACAGCGGGACGATCCTATAGTCCCAAAACCGAAAGTCATCCGCGAGGCAAGGTCTGCATTTTTCGGCGGCACGACCTTTGCAATTGACAGAGCCGGAAATACAAGTCCGTATCGTCGTGCTTTGGCGGAAAGCGATAATTCTGCTGTTTACAACGAAGCGAGCATGGCACCAGTAAATGATGATGTTTATAGCGAGAGTGTTTACTCTAGAAGCATTGGCCGTAATCTTTCTGAGGCTATGAGTAGTGATACATCGGTACCACTCGCAAATGTCCGAATGCCGTCATTGCCTGTCGATAGCTCAACCCCTAATGGTGGCGGTGGTGGCGGTGCTGTAATTATCAATAGCACAACCTATCGTCCAACTCATCCAAGACAACGAGGTGAGAACTCCGGTGGTTCGATTGAATGGCAAAAATGGATGTCGTCTGAAGTGGCAAAGTTAGAAAGGCCGCCTGGAAATGATCGAGTGAGCGCCAGCAACATCGAACGATCCCTATCACCCACGCCTACGATGTCGAACTCACTTCACATTGCTCACAGAAGAGAAAAAGCTCAGATGGCTGATGATGATACGGATATCGCTCAGAAGAAACTTCCTGTTGGTAAACAACCGCTTGGTCTCATTCAACAGAATCTTAATGCTCAAGTTCTTCTGAAGCCGATCCTGAAAAATCGCTCAACGACATCTTTGGCTGAGGATAGTTTCATCGACAACACAAATCCATGTGTCGTTCCTCCTGCACCACCACTTCCGCCCCCACTTCCTCTTAGATCGACCTTAAGGCCAGCACAAAGCAAGTCGAGCTTGAAAAGTACATCGAACTCTCAACACGTACAAGCAACTCCAAGTTCCCCTGCTCGTGTCCATAATCCAAACACAAAGGCTCTTAACGTCTTGCACAAACGTTTCTCAACTGCAACCCTCAGGAGCGTGCCAGCAACACCCAATCATGGTGCAGAAAAACAAAATCCAAGTACGCGCAATATACTCCACAAACGAAACATTTCGGATGCCACAATGAAAAGCAGTAAGAGTATTAGGAGCGTGAAGAGTTTCGACACAAGTATAAGTCAAAATTGTAACTTTACAACTAGTCCTGCGAAATTGGTCAAGAGGAGTGGGAGACCGGTGTATAATTATACTCCGCAGAGTAGTCCGGGTACGGGTATTGGGGCGGCGGTAGAGAGACAGTTTGGGAGTGCGAACGGAAGTTTACATGGAACGGGAAGATCGAGAGTGAGAGCTGGGGGGAGGGAAAATGAAAGGGTTGGTGGTGGTGTAGGGGGTGTGGATGATGTTTATGGGGTGGAGGGAAGTGGGGCGGAGCAACAACAGGTTGGTAGTAAACAGATGGTGGATACGTTTTTGAGTAGTAGAAGGAAGAGAATTGCTAGTGTGGGAACGATTGCGGGAGGAAGTATGGGGGAGGATGGGGGTGGTGAGAGTGTTGGTGGAATGGATGATGGTTCGGTGTTTCTTTAGGGGTGGGAGCTTGTGCTTGGGATAGGGGTTGGTGTATGAGTATTGGGAATGGGTGGAGTGTAATGAGATCATGATTTATGGGTTTGGGTGGTTACGATCAGGATTAGAATCATGTATATACTTTTGGTGAGAACTTCATGTATCGAGTAAGTGCTTGGGGACTCGGCTGCCGGGGATTAGGAATTGGGCATTGGGGATCAGGTGTTTTATGAAACTGGGAAATGAAAAAGTACAGCAGTTTTGAGAGGGTTAATATAGTATCGACTAGTGCTCATGACATTACTTTTTTCAATAGAGAAAATGAGACTTTAGTATAGATAAGTAGTTGTGTTTAGATTAGTGTACTATGATTAGTATGATAATTGAGGTTTAGAAAATTTAGAATTAATTGTTGTAATGCTTATCAGGACCAGGATGTGATTTGGATGCATTTCAGCTTTGGAGAAAAGATGTGAAGATTTTTGTGGGGAGGAAGTGGAGGTGGGAGGTGGGAGAGGAGGAGAGGCGAAGAATGAAATAGAGGAGGAGGGAGAGGGATTCGGTGATGATATTTTAGATACTAGATGAGCGATACAGTAGCGAAATGGTCTGGTGATGCTTGTATGAGGTTTTACATTATACTGGGGTTTTCTTTTTTGTGGAGGTGTTTGAGTGCAAGGGGGGGTGAGATGCTGTTTGATGGGGGCTATGAGTTGGTATGGTATGGTTTGGCGCTGAGTATCATTTTGGAAGAAGGGGATGGGTAGGAACTCGGAGTAGAGCGATATAGAGAGGGATTTTGAAAATGGGAGTCTGGGAGAGAAAACGGGAAAAGGGGAGAGGGTGGGTTTTTTGATGTATAATTTTCTGGATTGTTTGTCTTCGTCCTTGTATTTGGGGGCTGTGATTCTGGTTCGCGTAGCTCGTGCAGCTAGACTAAACTAATGTAATCAGTCATCCTCGCTAACCGGATAATACTTCATTCGTGATATTAAAATTTGAAAGAGCTTGGTACGTTGCCGTGAGTTCGTCGCATAGGATTTTTACGAGTAGGTAGAGAGAGGTAGAGATAGTGTGGTATTGTATTATGTCGTATCTAATTTCGAGCTAGGAATCTAGTAGCCCAGCTGATTGTGTAATGTGCACGACTCGATTTAGAACTTGTGATGTTGGTTTTGTTGTGTGTATGAGATGTCGATTATAGGATTTATCGTGGTAGATTAGAAGGTAGTGGAAATTTGAAGATTAGGTAGAGTAGAATGCTAGAGTTCTTGGCGTGGGTTTAGGTTAGGTTGGCTTGGTTTGGTCGTATTGCTTCTTTCGTTGGTGTTGGAATCTGGGTGAGGAATTGCGTAGAGAGACGTTGGGCTTTTTTATGGACGGGAAATCTTGCTGTGTGAGATTTGTATGCGTTACCCGAGGATCCTGATGGATTCGAGAGCGAGATGGTGGGTAGGTTAGTTTTTATTGGATTTCTTGAAAGTTGGGCGGGATACATGTCCAGGACTGGGAAGACTAGTGTCGTGTTCTTACTGAGACTATGCGTACCTCTATTCAACATGATGGTTATTCCTTCCCAGCTTGCTGCTTCCTCGATGTTCTGTTCAAATGTATGTCCTCGTATGCCTGTTTGTATTGATTGTGGAGATCTTTGGAAAGATGAGGTTCGGAGTAACATCCGCAAGGAAACTGTCATACTTGTTATTTGTATTCAATTTGAGGTGCGCGGAGTTTCGTTTGAGACTTGTGACATGTTTTACTCTTTGGTTCAAGGATTCCTGAAGCTAGTGTGGGATAGACTATGTTGGTATATGATGGTTAGTCAGTGTTTAATAAAGTTAGAGAGCGAGGAGGGAACTTACTTTTGCTATTGCGTTTATGCTTTTGAATCTTGAGATAATGTTGACATGGTTTGAAACGAGATGTTGATTGCAGATTATTTCAAATTAAATTGTTCATTTACCTTGAAGCTGAATGTTGGAATCTAAGTCTTTGGGTCGTACATAATTAGCGTTGGCATCTAAATAGAAGAAAGGAGGGGAGAGTATACCATAGGTGATCGGGAGGATAAGAGGAAAGAATGAGAGAAGTAAAGACCTAACAAATAAGGTCCATGTAGATTTTAAGTGGTCAACTCAGGGTATTACATTTTTCTAGATTATGTCTTCTCCAAACTGTTTCGCCAATTAACCATGATCCATAAAGATATATCTCTCAGTAAGCTTGATGATGATACACAATTGGGTATATACATGCACGCTGTCTCAGTGAGCAAGTGTATACCCAATTGTCGTTGTATTATCTTTGTATTTTGGAACTTTTTCTCTCTGGGAGAACGTAGTTGGTTAGCTCTTTCAATTGTGGAGCCTCTTTGCATGAGCATTGGCTAGAATGGATGGGGCATTTAGAAAGTTCGAGAGAAGTGGGACTTCTGGATCACGGCATGTGATGGGACTGGACACAGGATGGGGTTTCCGGGCGGGAAGAGTGGATCTACTTCTGGTCTACTTCTTCGGCTGATGTTTATCAAAACCTGCAGAGTGGGTACTCATTCTGATCGAATCACAAGACTAAGGTCTCTGTGAGTAGTTGGGTTTGAGTTTTTACTCCTTCAGTGATGATCAGGACACGAGTAGAAACGCAGGTTCGATGGGTATATGTACAGTATCTAGATAGAGCTTCTTTCGAGTCATCGTAAATATATATATTTGAATGCCTACTACCCTCCAGATGAATCTATAATGTGTTTCCTTATCTTCACCATAATTTGTATGAGGTCCTAGCCAACTTCTTCTGTGCTAATCAAAGATGATACCCAGACGCTGAGCCCTTGATCGAGAGCAAGCCACGATCCTTTATTCTCTTTGTAACTGCATACGATTATATACCCTGATGCAATGCAGTCATCTAGTTGGTATTCCTTATCTTTCCAATTTTGAACCTCTTCCTTCGTAGGAAAAGCCTCTTGGTAAAGAGTGTATATCTCCTATGATTCATGTCTAACTTAGCTTGGGCGGTATTCCTTGTTGTTGGCAAAGAGAGTGAAAGATCCAGGGCTCGGTGTGTGATCTGTGTGGAAAGAGAAAGTTTTGAACACATCATTTGAGTAGTTAATGGGATGAGTAACCATAAAGAAGCATGGAATGATCTATTCGTAACTCTATCTATCTCTACTAATTGCCGCTTCAAATTTGAGAAATTCTATCAGATAAAGAAGAAGTGAAAATTAATTCATAAAATACCTGCAATGTATTATATCATAAGTTTCTATGGAGTTTTTGTATTACTCGTACGGGCGGGACCTTCATGGAGCAAAGGAATTTTTCAATCAGCACTTCTCATAATCTAGATATCACATGCAAAGTGAGAGGTATAACCCCAATTAAAAGGAGCTCCTTCGCCCATCTTCGATCGCATACGCGGAGTTGACTGTGTGGTCAGACTCTCTGACTATGGTAGTAATGAAGACTTCAGCCTGTCATACTGAATTCTTTGCCCTTAGATTACTACTGTAGTCAGATAATCTGATCGTATAGTTATCCCAGTGTATGTTGTTGCTGGATGGGTACCATTTTTTGTTGCATCTTTCATGCTCTTCCGGTTTCCTTTTTTTTTGCTATAGTGGATCATCTATTTTGAAAGGCAATGTTATTGGAGGCTTGGGAAGACATCGGGGTTTACCATTTGAGAGTAGTTGAGAATCGGCACAAATTGTTATTGATACATGATTAAGTCATGACCTTGAAAGCTTTAATACTATGCGCGAAAGAAAGGTTCAGGCTCATCTTCATTAATTATTACACAAACTCAAGCTATCTGTAGGACGTGGGAAGCCTTACGGAACCCATGACAGTGAGCAACAAGAACTTGAAGCTTGATTCTGGCTATTCTAAATTCCTTTGGAAATTTTGCGGAATTTCTTCAGCTTGGCACATTTCCTTCTGATCTTTGCGTGCTCTAAGTTGACATAATCTTTCACAAAATCTCAAACTATGTCAAGGTTGGTGAGTATCCTTTGATACTGAAGAGTGAAAGACTCACATAGTATTCTTTCAAGCCCTACAAGTAGAACAATCACACAAAGATTGAAACGTCATACGCAAAACGTCAAAATCTTCAAAAAGAGCCTTTGTCCTAGTTTTGTCATTCATTGTTTTTTGATCCCGTGATACGGGGTAGCGAGAACTCGAGGGGCAAACCACCAACATCACTTCAACACTTGACACTTTCGAATCTTATCTATTCAATTAAAAAAACTCTCAAAACATATCTTGCTAATCATGAAATGATTAAAGTTGCTTAATCTGACCACATTCTGGCTTTGAAAATAGTGACTCATCAGAGGAACTGTCAAGATTTTCTGACCAACAATACCGGGAATTTAATGCAGATTATGCAATATCAAGAATTTCATCAGAACAAGAGGTGTTGTTTATTGGTATACTAGTTCTACAACAATGAATGTAATTGGAGGGATTGAGGCGAGTAAGTTGCGCTTTCGGGAGTTTTCCCGACCTGGTAAACTACTTCGCAATTCAGCGCATACGAAACATACCATGATGCATCAGAAAAATTGATACAAACTCCCAATCCAAACTTACAAAGCGCTAGTAAAATTTGAAGTTTACGAATACACCTAGAATCATCGAAGAATCACACTAATCATGGGTCATTTGCAGTGCTTACTCGATACTCTTGCGAAACCGCATTCGACACGACAACCATCAAAAGCCAACCCAATGCCGCACGACTTGAGCAGATGATAATCAAAGCGATAAATCAACGTCCTCTGATCTTCGCACTACTGATCATTTTTTAGAAGCTCGAGGTGAGCTGCATCCTCATAATTCAATCGAAACACGAACGTACACGACATACAATTCAGCGGAGTCCAACAACAAAACCCCTCAAGTCTCCGAAAGCAGCGAAGATTAAAATTGTACAATAATTCAGAGAGCGAACAAGAAACAACGGCTAAAAGAATAAGAACAAGTTTAGATAATGAGGGCAGAGGTGACACTTGAGCCCCACGAAGATATCTCGCAGACTAAGATAATACACGAGGGGCCGGATACTACGATTACATTTTACAAGTGGCTGCGGCATACAAATAATATGGAAAACAAAGGGCAAGAACATAGGCAAAAGCAATAAAGAAAGACACTGGCTTGGACTCGATTGGACACTTGAGGGGCTAACAAACAACTTCATGATTATAGTGAGAGATAAACAACAGATCTGGGTCCATTTTTGGGGCCAAAGGAGAAGAATCGGCAAGAGTTCTCCACTTCCAAGATGTTGGTGAGTTTTACAGTATTCGGTCACAACCATGGCCTACATCCTAATTTTTCAACTGCGAAATTCCACTAGCTTTCTTGTTACCATGATCTACCTTGATTGGAATATTTGAAGATCGATGTCAGACATGCAAGAATTTGAGAACCTTAGTTGATGGGAAATTGATTGCATAAGAACACAGTAGGAACACAGAAATTGTGAGCAATGGCAAGTCACAGCAAAGTTTACACGATGCCTGAATCATGCGACCGGTCCTGCATGCGGAAAAAAGTGGTCTTAATTCAATGTAGAGAGTTTAAAGGGGCCTAAACATGCTGGCAATATCAGATTGAGTCCTTGAGCAGAACAAAATGTTGTCAATAGGCAATAAAGACTTGCAAAAATTCTGTGAGGGCAACAAACACCATACATACGAGAAAAATTTCATACACGATGCCATGAACGATACGCAAAATACAAGACAACTCCAACAATCAAGCTCCAACCAGCCCTAAATATGGCCGCCAAGAGTCCAGACCATTCGTACGAACTTATCATGTCAAAACTGCAAACGCTGGGGTTGAAGTTTGGGCCGCCCAAAACATGTACGCGTCCATAACTGGGGAGAGAGTTATATATAAGAGTCTTGCAAAGTGGGTCACTGATCGACAAATTTCCAACAGATACAAATACTACAAACTAAACTACAATATTCCACGCCGTACACTACATATCCAATCCTCCAACCAATATGTCCGCAAAGGGAAGTAGCAATCCCACTGGCAGCAAGGATAAGAAAACCAAAGAAGATAAAAATAAAGAAGAAAATGACCAGGCCAACGCGATTATTGATGGTGTAGATTTCGGATCGACCATAAAACCTGGATTGAGAGATAAAAGGCAACCCATCGACCCGAATTCGCCAGGTAAGAAGGTAGTTGACAAAGAGATGGAGAAGCTTGCTAAAGCCAAGGAGGAAAAGAAGAGGAGGGAACTACAAGCGGGGAGGCGTAAACCGTAGAGAAAGTAAAGAGAGTGACGTTAGGATAAGCGATCTTGATGGATGAGGAGGAAGAGGTTCTCGTGGAGTACGATGATGGCGATGATAGGTGTGTTTGAAAGAAATTTAAGTGTTCCGAGGCACTATGAGAATAATCTAGATGACTTTTGAACAACTATTGCGTTGGGATCATTTTTTCAGCTGCCTAGTCTCAAAGAGAAGTGGAAGTAGAAGTCCTTGCAGTATCGGAAATGATAATGCAGTCGCATCGTTCAAGTAATTCTTGCATGAAAGAACTGCTCATCTACTTTCTTGAATATCTTGAATACCTGTGCAGAACCAATAAAGCATCCATCGAAACCTGGAACTAAAATTCATATCTCATTCATATCATCGCTGGTACTGACAAAACAAAAAAATCCATTCTAACATCTCTGTGCAAAATGACTCCATGCACCTTGTATTCACCCCAAGTCATTCACTTCACTTGACATATCACCACCTCATTATATTCCAAATTCTTAAATTAGAACCCATAAACCACAGATCCATATTCACACTCACAATTCCCCACCATTCTACTCACTCAGCATCCGCCCATTACAGCCATTCAACCAAGAGCCTCCCATACCAGCCCATTCACAGGTCCTCATCCCCCTGACCCTCATTTTCACCTCCACAATCACCATACCATCAAGAAAAGCACAGCGCAGTACAGCACATTTTGACTCCATGAACCAATCACATTTCCAATTCAATTCACCCCTTTCTCATTCTCGCTTCGAGATCCCCAAACTAATAGAAGAATGAAAATTTAATAATTATTCAAAAATGTGTAGGTAATACAATAACATTTCATTTCAACCACAATTACAGACACTCATAGTGGAATTAAACATATATACTGTGCATCAAGTAGAAAAAGATGTGTGTGCTTCTATAAGTATACTACAGACAGTATTTAAACTGTCAACAAGACAGACGTACTGGTGGTTTTTTCCGCAAAAACTCTAGATCACCAAAAATAATTTTCTCAGATATTGATTAGATAGGACTGTGATTGCTGGGTATATTTATTCTTCTAAACAATTGATTGTATCGAGGGAATAGAATTATTGAAGAAGAAATACGAATACCATACTAAATCCCGGTACCTACGGTACAATATCTCTCAAAAGAGAAGCTCAAGCGACAAACGCCCTCAAACTACCACTCCGCCATCACAAAGTTCCTACGTCCCAGGTACTATTCTTCAACTCTTATAACCAACCACCTCCACCGCCATCGAAGCCGCATATTCTCAATAGAGATAACAAATTTTCGATCACAAAAGTAGCCATGTTTCGCAATTATCACAGCAAGTTTGTGGAGGAAAGTGAGAGATTAACCAGATCCAACTCGGCGGCGGGGCAAGAATCTCGAGATGCTCCTGGGGAAATCTCTAGACAAGTAGCAAGTCGAACATCCAGACGAATGCCCAGCATGGAGAAGTTGGAGGCTCCCGCTGTTGATTTTCGACGATCGCCAGAACCAGAATCGCGGCGTGGGTCACGAGAACCACGACGAATTTCCAGTAGGGATAAGATGCAAGATTTCGTTTTAGTTCCTACCAGAACAGAAAGACACAAATCAAGTCAAAGATCGAGACGAGCTCCGAGTATGGAGCGAATGCAAGTCTCCGCTCATTCTTCCGATTATCCAAGAGCAGTCTTGAGATCCGTACCTAGACCCGTCTTTCCCATCGTTGCTTCTTCCAAACCACCCAATATATCGACCTCAAGCGTATCAAGTTCGATGAGAATGTCAGCCGATGATCTAGAAGGTAGCGAATACCTAGAACCAACATTGGCGGAAAGTACTTTTGCGCGACAGAGTGTTTCTAGCAGAGTTCGCAAACCTGGTTATGGTACTGTTAGTGCGTCGTCGAAGCCATGGGGCAATGCCGCGAATTTTATGGAATGGGGAAATGTTGCACAATATATGGGGTTGAAAGGCGGACGCAGTGGAGCGGAGAACAAGAAGCTTGTAACGAAACAACCTGGCACGAATCGTGCTCCTGTCTACAGACCACAGCGTTTAGAGAGGGATGTATTCGCATTCAAAGCTCCATTGGCAGCGAAGGAACAACAGCTGCGAGAGCGTGTTACGAGAAAGTCTAGGGAGGAGGAGGGGAGGGAGAGACGCGAGACAGAGGCTGAGGATGCCGCGATGGATGATGTGGAGTTTGGGCCAACAATCCCACCTTGGATTCCGAAGTATCAATCTTCCTTTGCCAACCGCAAGGGATTCTCTTCTCCAAGTGGAAGTGGAAGATTCCCAGCTAGAGGGGAGAATTCGCGAAGATTGAACAAAAGCGAAGAGGATGATTTATAGTTTCGGGAAGGATTCAGCAAGGGTGACTAAATCATGGATTATCACAACTCGATGATCATGGCTATAATCGGCTAATAATAACATGATAATGATTTTTGGGACGGGCAAATAGCCACCTGGCAAATAAGGTACAAAAGGGAATCAGGGATATGGTATGGCCTGTAGACAGCTCATAATGAAATAAGATCAATTGCCACAAGTTAGACTTTTTTGCGGTTTGATTTAGGCCGTCCCCGTTTTGGTTTGACTTCGACCTTTTCTTCTTCCGACCCCTCTTCATTCTTGACATCATCATGATCAATATCCTCACTCCCTGGCGTGTCTTCAGGATCCTCCGTACTTCTATCTTCAGGCTCAGAATGGATTTCTTCTTTTACATTGGTATCCTGGATTCTTTCCTTCATCTCTTGAACGGCCTTTGCAGCTTCATCTTCCTCCCCATTCAAGGTTCGACAACCAAAACATCTCCATTTCCCTAAATCGGTCAAGGATTTTGTACCCGGAGGTGCTTGGCCATTGACAAGTCGACAGTTTTTGCATATCAACGCCATACGATTCTTTGGATGTGTCTCATCCTCGCCCAACAACAAATCTAATACTCGATCATACCAGTGACCTTCAGCGACAAACTCTCCACTCTGAGCATATTGACCTTGTGCATATTGAGATGGACCCGAAAATGCATTTGGTGCAAATTCAGCAGGGCCTGGCTCACTTCGAGGAGCAGTAGGTGATAGAGATGGAGCGATGAATGAAGGAGGGGTCCTGCTACCAAGTGGTTGAGGGGTAGAAGGTTGACTCGGAATTTGGTTAGGGCGGGGTATATTTGCTGTCGCAGGTGGGCCCATGCTTGTTCGTGGGGGTTGCGCATCTTTATTCTTTGGAGTCTTTTTCACAGACGCAGTTCTCTTCGGTGCAGGAGGTTTTGGTGGAGCGCCACCATATTTCTCTAGAAGTTCTTGTGTGGTGTTATATTTCGTGGCAGCCTTTAATTTGTCGATGGTTTTTGTTCTCTCAGCTTGTTGTTCTTCCAGACGACGCGCGATAGATTCAACCCTGTATTCATAATATCTCGTAATACCACTTCGAATGAGATAGATTCTAATGGCCAAATCAGTATGCGATCAGGATAATGTGTTTCTTTGGTGATACTAACATCAAAGGACTTCCCGCAAGACCAGTGTACTCCAAGACTGTCAAATCCTTCCAACCGATCACTAAAAGTGCTATGACGAACACCACCAAGTATGCAAAACTCGAATATAATGTCCATAATGCTTTCACACGTCTGCCACGAAGTCGTCGAGAATCTAGCTGTGATTGTGATTTCGAGATCTTCTCTGCCAAAGCAGATAGTGTTTTTTCAAAGGAGGCAGGAGAATTATCCTCGCGCTTTGAATAATATTCAGGTTAGTGAATGGCCTAAACGTACGACTTTAAATGGAAGCTTCACATACCTTCCAGGGCCAAAGTGAAACCATCTTAAAGTATGATTTCGGAATTTGATGATAGTAATAGGAGTCGTATGTCACCTCATAGTGAAGTTGATATCAATAGGTAGGTAAATGGTAGATGAAAGGAACGAGAGTGTTCTTATTAGTGGGAGGGGGTAAATTTCCAAGGTAATAGCTTTCGTCACTTCTTGTAGCTAAGCTAGCAAGCTGCTGACTCCTAGTATAAGGTAATTTCGGTGATTGGATAGAAGTAAACCTAATTTAGGCCAATTAATCTAGTCAACCTAGTTATTATACATACCCAGCCGGTATATATGTATATAGTTTATATATAATGTATATATAGTACTCCGTACGCTACTCTAGATCACAACCTCAGGAACTTGAGAGGGTTGAGAGGGGCTTGAAGGTGTCAAGTTTTGATGAATTTGGTTAAAAGTGTCTACTACTTCGTACCTAGGTACTAGGGGTTATGGAGCCCGCCGAGCCCGCCGAGCCCGTCGGACCGTGTCACCCCTATAAAACATGCACTCGTGGTTAATTATTGCGGGCATTAGAAGCATTTAGAAGCATTCGACATGGCCCCAAATTACACCAAACTTACCCAAGGACTCTAGAGAGTATTACAAGCATTATCATTACCTCTTTGAGTTGATGTACTGAGTATTCGTATTGAGCTACGTTTCTGGCCCATATATACCTGGGTACCAATCTAGCTTTACTCGTACCTACCTACCTGCCTAGTACCTAGTATATAAAGAGCAAGCAAGGTAGAGGGGTATAGATACGGGGTAAGAGGAGGCTCAGTCTTAGTCTTAAAGTACTGTACGTGCCATGAGGCTATGAGGTTCTCGCTTTGTCCTTTACGACTATCATCTGTCTCTCATGTACCTAGGTAGTTTTAGAAGTTGACAAGTAGGTATTATTATCATTATTGCCATTATTATATCTTCGATTTCTTACTCAATTCCCATGCAATACCATTGCCTTCTAAACTGCTGATTATGATCATTAATATTTCACGAATTCACTTGCGTCCACAGTTCTCAGACAACCTTAGAATAATTTATTAATAGTCTAAAAAAAGTAAAGACGCCCTCAACCCACCACATGTGGAAAGAATGTTCCAGGTAAACTCACTCTTTAAATATGGATCGCAACCTTGCAGATAAATTAGCTGACGAATTCAAAAGAGACTTAAAGCTCAAATAGATACTCGTATCGAAGAAGAAAAGGCACGATTGAACGCAACCAATCCCAATCTTCAGAGATCTGCCTCTACATCCTCGACTTCGAGACGACCCGCCAACGAATCTCCTTCAAGAAAGCCACGCAAGCCACGGCCAAAGGATGATAATGAGATAGGTGGCAGAGACCCAGATCCGACAGAGTTTGAATCTACTTTTGTAATTGAAGACGATTCTGAATCTTCAACTCGAATTGGGACAATGGCGGGAGATGCGAATAAGTCGTCGGACGGCAGTTCTCCTGCAACTAATGGCAGTGAAAAGACAACAAATGCCACTCTAGGAGCTTCTGCTGAGCTTTCATCAATAGAAGTCGAGAAGAAGTTGCGAAAGCTGGAAAAGATTGAGGGTCAATATAAGAGTGTGTTTCATTGATATGCTTTCAGTATACGATTATTAATGCCACATAATAGTTCTCCTCGATTCATATCGAACTGCACATGCTCGTAACAAGTTTATTGAACCTTTCGAAAAAGTCCTCAAGGAGTATACACCTATTGGCTCCATTCAGGAGCCTGATTTGTTAGCTGGATATCTCAATGCACAGAAAGAAGAAGGCAGGTTGGTGAAGGAAGAACTTGCACGTGTAACTGCAGATCGCGACGATCAAAAAAGGAAGTACCTGGAGTCTGGAAAGAAAAATCTTAGTCTGTGGGACGAGCTCAAAACGCTTCGAAAAGCATCTACTATTGGCGACAGTCCCACCACGGATTCCACAGAAACTCCAGAAAAGAATACAAAAGAGGAAGTTTCCTCGCACGACGATGAACTACCAAAATTGCAATCGGAGATCAAAGCTAAGTCGACAGAAATCGATGACTTGAAATCAAAATTATCTTCATCAGAAAAGGATCTTTCCTCTGCTAAAGAATTGGCTTCTGGGCTAACCCAGGATTTGGAAAAAGTAAAAATTGAGTTGAATGATTCTATCAAGGAGGTTAAGAAGGCTACCGATCTTGCCCAGTCCCGCCAAGAACAACTAAATGCCAAGGAGGGAGAGAATAAAAGACTCAGTGAAAAGGTACAAGCAACCGAGAAACAGCTTGCCGAAGCCAAGAAGTCCTCAGAGATTGAACAGGAAAAGCATTCGGAGAGTATAGACAAATTGAATCTCGCTGAAGAACAGCTTGCCGAAGCCAAGAAGTCTTTGGAAACTCAAAAGGAAGAGCATTCAGAAAGATTGAGTAAATTGAAATCTGCGGAAACTGAAAAAGCCAAACTTGAGGAGACCTTGGAAAATCAAAAGAAGCTGAGCTCAGATAGTTATTCAGTTCTACAATCGCAACTCAGAGACCAAACTTCCAAAGCAGAGAAAAAGCTCAAGTCTGAGTTGGATGCACGTAAAGAAGCTGAAAATCAAATTAAGCTCCTCAACAATCAGATCAACCAACTTAATGAATTCAAGAAGAAAGAATTAAAATCTCAATCTGACATCCGAAAAGAAGCTGAACAACAGAAGAAGGACCTCGATGCACAAATTGAAGAGCTTACCAAATCAAGGGATCTCAAAACTAAGCGCATTGAAGAGCTTGAGAATGAGATCGAACTGATCAAATCCAACGAGGCATCTCCAGCAAATGAAGACCCACCTACATCCGAGCCAGCCGCAGCCTCGACACCGGGACCTTCTGCATCCAGTAAGAAGAAGACGAAGAAGAAGGCCAAGAAACCTGCCACTACCTCTGCTAATCAAGAACCTACTTCTGTCTCTGGGAGGGCACCTGGTATCGATACTGGTTTCTTGCAAGCTGAAATCAATCAACTCAAAGCCCAGATTGCTGACAAGGATAAGCAAATAGAGAAATTACAGGCTAAGCGCAAGACAGAGGATGTTCTCAGGGAGGAGATTGAGGATCTCCAAGATAATCTACTCCTCATTGGTCAAGAATGTGTAGTCGCTAAGGACAAAATCAAGGAACTTCAGGCAGAGAAATCTGACCTTGAGGAGAAAGCAAACAAGTTAGAGGCCGAGATACAGGGTCAAGAAAATGGCAAGACAGCTTCAGACGAAACGGAAAAAGAGATAACTGCTCTAAAAGAGCAGCTTGCCACAGTGGAGTCTAAGCTACAGGCCCAGCTTGATTCCAACGTTGAGGCTGAAGAAAAATTGACTAGATTGCAAGAAGAGAAGGCTGCTCTTGAAGAAAAGGTTGAAAGGTTAGAATCTGAGATCGAAACTCACAAGACAGCTTCAGCCAACCTAAAGTCTGAAATCGAAACCCACAAAGACGCTTCAGCCAAACTACAAGAAGAAAAGATTGCCTTTGAAGAAAAGTTCGGCAGCTTAGGATCCGAAGTCGAAAGCCACAAGAAGACTTTAGTCAAGTTGGAGGAAGACCTCAAGAACAAAACATCCGAGTGTGAAGAATTAGAGTCGAAGTTCAGGACGATGAAAAAGGATCTTGGTGCCTCTGAGCAATTGGCCACATCACGTTATAAGGAGATCACGGACTTGAAACAAATCCTAGAGAGTGCTCAACCCGAAATGAAGAACCTGCGCGCCGAGAATGCAACATTGAAGAGTACGAAGGACGAGTTGAACGCCCGTGCTTCTGAATTGAGAAGATTAGAAGCACGCGAGAAAGATTTGAAGGGTGAAATTACTAGCTTCAAGAAGCAAACATCTGAGAAGGATGATGAGATCCGATCTTTGAATGAGAAGGTTGTTCAAGAGACGAATGGCCGACTTCGAGCCGAGAATGAAGTTTCCACCGCACGTCGTGATCTACGAATGTCCGAGGCCGCAAAGGTTCAATTGGCAGCTTCAGGCGAAAAGGCCAGGGGAGAACTATCCAAGGTCCAAGAAGAAACCGGAAAGTTACGTACTCATGTTCAAGAACTCGAAGGACAGGTTTCAAAACTATCTACTGAGAATAAAGAGCTTCGTGAGGTGGTCGAAATAAGAGGTTCTGAATACAAGAACGTGCAAGGAATGCTTGATAGCTTGAAAAGTCAAGAGGCAGAGCTGATTGCACAATTGAAGCAGAAGAGAGAAGAGGCAGAAAGTCTTGAAGAGGAACTCGGCGACGCTCAAAGAAATCTGAACGACCGAGTTCGCGAGTGTGAGACTATACGTAGACTCATGGCCGTCGAGAAAGAGGAGAAAGGAAGAGCTGAAGCCAGAGTTCGGGAAATGAGAGAAGAACGCGATCGAGCAGAAGATGAAGCCAGTACTAATGCTCGTCGCAGATCTCGAGAAGTAGATGAACTCAAGACCAAGATCAGAGATTACGAGCGAGATATTAAACGAGCAACTGATGACCGAGATGAATTTGAGCAATCACAAAAGGAGCTCAAGAGACGCCGTGATGAATTTGAAAGTTTGGCCGAGAAGTCATCCCAGGAAGCTGAGGAGACACGCTTAGCAATGATCGAGCTCCAAAATACTTTAAATAGCACTGAAAAACAACTTCGTGCCGCCGAGAAACAGAAGGCAGATACTGGAAAACTTCTCGAGGACGCAAATCAACGATATGAGAAACTTCAAAAAGAAGTCAAATTATTGCAGATGAAAACATCCAGATTAAACGACGGTTCCTCGAGAACAAGTATTGATTCGGGAAGATCAAAGAGTCCGGCGAATGGCAGGAAAGATGCTGCTACCACACAGGTAGATGTTAAATACACCAAGGCGGTTTTGTTGAAGTTTTTATTGGAGAAGAATAAAAAGATTCAGGAGAGTTTGATCACGTCGATTCTCACAACGTTATTCCAATTGGACAAGTATGTTTGACCCCTTTTTTATTTTCCTATAACTTCCAGGGGATAATTTACTGATGAATCGAATTATAGAAAGGATCAGGAAGAGTGGATTGCGGCGATTGCGACTTGGAAGTGATTGAGTTGATCTGATTTGATTGGTGGAAGAACGTTATGTTATGACTGGAGAGGCGGTGGTATTTTTAAATGAAGATTTGTATATTTGAGGGGTTTTGGGGAAGTAGAGCTGGGATTCAGGGCTGGGGATCGGTTAGAGGGTGGTGAGAATAGAGATAGAGGAGGAAAAATATTCTTGTTTGGGGAGATGAGGTAAGATGAGAGTAGATGAGGACGAGGTGAATATCCAGAACGGAAGTTTCTTGGATGGTTATGAGGATCGATAGGAAGAAAGGGAGGTATCAATGTTATATATATATCATTGTGTCGGTGTAGTACCTAGTATTTCTAGAGCCACTATACGCATACATAAATACAAACATACATACTATACAAATTACACAAATACACCTCGCTCAAATTACTACTAAACACTCAAACAATCCACTCACTCCACATTCCTCCACTCCTCTCTCGCCTTGAACCCAAACATCTTCACCGCCGCCTCCAAACTCCTCTCAATCGTCGCACTCCCATATTCCCTCATCTCCTCTTCATAGATTTTGATTCCGTCTTTCACACCCCTTTCCTCAAGCAACCGCACGAGATTCCCCGCATCGCGCAACGCGGTTACGCAGCCTGAGGCGCCGGTAGGAGGCATGGCGTGGGCGGCGTCGCCGAGGAGGGTGATGGTGGGGGTGCTGGGCCAGGAGGGGAGGGGAGAGGGATGAGTGGAGATGGGGAGGAGGGAGGTTTGGGCGGGAGATTGGTGGGTGAAGAGGGGGTGGAGGGAGGGGTGGAAGTGGGAGCTTAGGGATTGGGATAGAGATTGGGGGGTGAGGTGGGGCGGTGAGAGGCGAGCGAGATCGGATTCTTGCGTCGAGGTTACCCAGTATATGTAAGGATAGGGAAGGGCAATGGGAAGGGGAGGAGAGGAGGCGGGGGGGAGTTTAAAGGTGATGGGTTCAAGGAGGGTGATGGAGGGGATGGGGCCGTGGGGATCGCGGATTATGGACATGCTTTTGAGCATTTCGGGTGGAAATGTGTCTGTGAGTTCGGTGGAGAGAGGAGTTTTGCCATAGATGATACGACCGCCCGTGTCGAGGGGAATGTGGGATGGGAGGAATTGTTTCCTAACGCGGGAGTGGACGCCATCGGCGCCGATGAGTAGAGTACCAGTTGCGGAGGTATGGTCGGAAAAGATGATGGTTATGGAGTCGCTGTTGTTGGTGGTATAATGGGAGAATTCTTTACCGAAGGAAACGTAATTTTCCAAACCTGTCAAGAGCACATCGCGGAAGACGCGACGATCAACAGTGCGAGCATTTCGAAACATGGGAGGAGGTCCTTTGCCAAATTGTTGGGGTTGAGGCGGGAGGATTTCGCCCGTCAGAGGATCTGCTTGGGAGCCGGGTCCTAGACGCATTTCGGCGCACGTGTCTTCAAATAATTGATAGATGTCATCGGGTAGACATTGTTGGAGAGCATCAGTTCCTTCGGAATGAATCCGGATTCGATAGCCTTGCAATCGGTAATCTGATGCTTGGTCTCGCTCGTAAACGTGGAAATCTATGCCGGCTTTTTTGAGACCCTGAGCTAGACAGAGACCGCCGAGGCCGGCCCCTGCTATCAGAACTTTGGGTTGTGACATTCTTGAGTTGGTATGCTTGACGAAGGAGATGCTTGTGATGTAGTTTAGTGTATTGCCAGTTTAGCGCTGCGAATGACAATGATGATGATGATGATGATGATGATGATGATGATGATGACGACAGTGATAATTCAAAGTTAAATTGGAATTAAATTGAAGTTGAGAAGTCGAGGAAGCTGATGTTGAAAGTATTTGTACTCTTCCTATATCCCCACATCAAGGTAGAACTATTCCTCGAATAGACATCTCTGTTGCCTGCTGCACATTTGTTAAATCCGTATTAGAACGATAACAAATCGGTGCCGTCGACATAAAGTCGGTCCCGTTTTAATACAAGGAACCGATCTAGCTTGGGCACAGAAAAGGAATTGCAGGGACAATGACACCGAGATGAAGTGAGCTTGGATCAGATGGTGCTTGAAGACTTCAAGATATCAGTATCTTATGTCCGGCCGAGAATTAACCGTGGATATAAGCTATTTGGGTGTATGATTGTTGTGATAGTTGTTACTCGAAAGACTTCGATATATATAAACGGCAATAAACTTCTCACAACCAACTGACTTGAGTTATTGGAGAAGTTCTAATAATTCAGATCATCTTCAGGTCATGGGCGACTTTCACATGTCAGGTGTACCTTGTCCGTGTGTCTTTGAATCAATTTGGACAATTCTGATTTTGATTTTGATTTCGAATGGCCACACTCATGGTATTTCTAACCACCCAAAACACATTTGGAAATCAATCACGGAATAGGCCACAATACACGGATATCCTCATTAGGAAGAGATGAGATCAGGATTGTGAAATTTTCAGGTCACGCCTAGCCAGTAGAAAGTCTGTGGTGTACTTCCGTACCTAACATCTTATCTGATGATATGATGCCTTGCGGTGCGGTGCGGCAAAAGCTGTAGTCCACGCTTTTCAGCACGTTTTTGCATTCTTAACGGGACATGGAAGAGGTGGTTGATTTTGTGGTCATGCATTTTTCTTTGCTTTTTCGATATTTTTTTTCAGCACAGGGCTGGGCTGGGTATGTCTTGGATTGCCCCTCTTCGGATGTGAGATTGAGGGGCAAGGCTTTTGATTTTAGGATTAAGCATCGGAAGGGGTAATGGAGAGATATCTTTCTGTTAATGTGTGGCAGTTTATTCGAGGAATGAATCTGTCAAGCAGTTGATGGATTGGAAAGGATTGGGAAGGATTCCGGGATCGGTGAAGTTACTGGTGTGTGGCTTGTAAATTGATGGAGAAATGGAACAAGGATGCTATGCAGTGACAGCATCGATGGCGGTTTTCCTTTATGGGAATCGAGGTTTCGATGTGTTTTATGGCTAATAATGGATGTTAATAGATATGGAAGGGGATTCAAGTGAAAGGGATGAGAGGAGATGGAATGATGAGATGAATTATTTTGATCGACTTGGATGAGCGATGAATGAGTATTGAGTGTTGAATGTACGGAGTAGGTATGAGGGGTACATTCTCGCTAGTACTACCTAGTAGGCATAGCGTTCGAATTTGAATTGTTCTATACTCCGTACTTGAATGTTTGTTTTAATATTGAAACATGAAATAGAAAGAATTAGATACCTATTAGTACCGGTAACTTTATGTGAAATTAGATATATAAGGATTTATATTCAGGCACGAAGATATCTACTGTAGGTAAGTAGGGACCTAGTAAGTAGGTAGATCGACATCTAAATTGATATTTTATCTACGACATTACCCCTCCTCGCCTTCTCGCCTCCAAGATGGCGTTCCCGAACCCCCTTTTAGTCTGAAGAGATTAATAAGTTGTTGAATTGCCGCTCCCCATACTTTCTTTGGCTTTGGAGGGAGGGAATGATTCCAGGTACTACTAGGGGGGTAGGTAACCCGATGATATCAGAATTTAATCCGAGTCTCCATTCGTATTCAATCTAGATTCTATTTTAGTTGAAATCTAGACACTTTACAGGTTTTGAACATTCTACAGAGCAGTACCCAAATACACCCACCGGTGGGTGAGGTATTTTAGATCTTTTGAGTATAATATTTATTACAGAGTACATGGAATTTATGATTTCAACATAATTTACCAAATTCTATTTATTTATTTATTTATTTATTCATCATCACATCATCACATCATCACATCGTCCATCTAACAAGAAAAATACCCCTCCACTCTAGCCTTGCCTTTCAACCCTTCCTTCACCTCCACATCCATAACCAGCCTCTCCTATCGTCTCCTATCCTTCCCATCCTCTCATATGATCACATCTATCATCCATCTCAATTCATCTCTTATCCATACATAGGTACCTACCTACATTCAATACACGGCCAAAAACCACTACACCGTATTCTATCCTCCTCTCCTCTCATTCCGCCTTCTCCTCGATAATCCTTTCCAGCTTGATCCATTCAATTGATGGATTGCTCCATAATTGATTGATTCACCGAAATATTGATGTTTACCAGGCGGTAGGTATCTGGATTTTGAATAGGTTGACTCGGGATATTTATGATTGAATAATTCTTGTTTTTTGTTTCTTGTTCTTGTAAACAGACATTTATTATTTTTCTCTTTACTTGGCTATATTTCAATTGCTTCCGATAATTTTATACCTTCCCACTCTCATCTTGTACAGCCCTTAAATGTTAGTTATCATTGCAAACTTTACTCTATATATATATATATATATATATATTTGAAGCCCAAGTAAAATGCCTAGATTGCGTTGCATTATTGCTTGACCGTTATAGATTCTCACCCTCCTACCTATCTACTTACTCGATAATTTATCACATCAATCCAATAGGAGGTACAGATGATTTTATATATCTTCTACATTAACATTAATACTGTGGCTACGTACAGTACAAGTACATGGATGGATAGACAGGACAGGACAGGACAGGACTGGAAACGACTTAACTTTATTTATTTATTTGGGTCGAAGCGCCCCCCTCCTATCAATTCGTCATAATTTGGCGGGAAGCAAAGCAAGCAAGCAAGCAAGTTAAAATTTGACTATCCACCCACTTGGTCCTCCTCCTCCTCCTCCTCTTATTACTCGAGTATCAATTTACGACTACTTCGTACTTCATATTACTATTACTACTACTACTGCCATTACCACCAACTCCCATCTCCATCATCATCTCCACCTCCACCACCTCCTCCACCTGTAAATAAAAAATTCAAGACCCTTTTGGAACACATTACCCAGTACCGGCCTGCTAGCTATATAGATAGGTGTATGGGGAAAAGTTTACATCTACCTGCCTCTCGATCTATCTATTACTAGTTGTCTACAGCTACTACGCCTATTCCTATACTACGCCTATTCCTATACTACTACTACTACTATACTACTACTATTATACTACTACATTACTACTACGTTACTACTACACCTATTTCTACTCCTCTTAAATCTATTCTATTAATTTCTTCACCTCTTACCTCTGACCTCTGACCTACCACCCACCTCCACTTCCAAATCCACTCATAATCAACTCCACCAACCTAACTAAAACCCAATCCCATCCCAATACCAATACCCTTTGACTAGGTATCTATCATCCACACCCATTCTCAATCCAAATCGAATCCTTTCCCTTTCTCCATCAACAAAATTCAGTCAATCAATCAGTCAATCAATCAATCCACTGCACAACAATTCACCAATACACACCCATCAACACACCCAATACCACTCCAAATTCCACACCAATTCACACTAAACTAACCCACCATCTAACCACCACCACCACCACCACCACCACCACCACAACCGAATAATGAACGGAGATCGGATAAAGGCTTCTGCAATTGCTAAAGCGAAAGAATCGATAACTAAAAATTCAAATGCGCATGCTATGAAAAAAAGAAAGAAAGACTCATTAAAGCCAATCATCACAACCGAGCAAGACTCTGAATCTTCCAAAATGGCTTCTACTCAAGCCCGTGCAGGGTAAGTCACCAAAAATGTCCCACTTTCTGACCTTCCAACCCTCCTTCTGTGTTTACGGTGCAGCGCCTCAAAATATAAACCACCCTCCCCTCCAACAAGGTCGCGCAAAAATGCTGCACTTTCCTTAAGATTCATTCAAGATGATGAGTTCAATGCTTCAAAACTTGCTAACTAGAATCGATGATGGAAATAGATCGGCTTCGGGAACAAATCGCGATCCATCATCCTCTTCCTCGAGAGAAGACGCTGCAGAAACGACTGCAGACGAAGAAGACTCCGAAGATTACTGTAAAGGAGGTTATCACCCAGTACAGGTCGGTGAAAACTTCAAAGATGGCAAATACACCGTGGTACGAAAGTTAGGATGGGGTCACTTCTCAACCGTATGGCTTTCCAAAGACAACGTCACTCAGAAACATGTTGCTTTGAAGGTTGTACGATCTGCAGCGCATTACACGGAAACGGCCATAGACGAAATCAAATTACTCAATAAAATTGTTGGTGCTAAGCCAGATCATCCAGGTCGAAAGCATGTGGTTAGTTTGTTGGATTCTTTCGAACACAAGGGCCCAAATGGCACACATGTCTGTATGGTCTTTGAGGTTCTGGGAGAGAATCTGTTGGGGTTGATCAAGAGATGGAACCACCGCGGAATTCCTATGCCTCTTGTTAAACAAATTACAAAACAAGTTCTGTTGGGTCTGGATTATCTACACAGGGAGTGCGGCATTATACATACAGATTTGAAGCCCGAGAACGTCCTGATAGAAATCGGAGATGTGGAACAGATTGTGAAAACATTCGTCAAGGAGGATACGAGTAAGGACAAGGAAGATAACAGAAATGGCCGAAGGAGACGGCGAACTCTTATTACTGGAAGTCAGCCTTTACCAAGTCCGTTGAATGCCAGCTTCAACCACGCAGATTTGATGAGGTTTCCTGGCAGTAATCCAGGTTCCCATGGAAGCATAAATGAAATGCTAAATAATAGTAGATATACTCCATCGGAAATCCCTGGTAATGGACGGTATTCTAATGGTTGGTGCAATAGGTCGTTCGAACAATTCTTCACCCCAAAAAGAACAGGCAGATGAGGAGAACCACGGGACAAGAGAAAAGACGGCGTAAGTAGTTACCTTCATGCCTTCATATACCGCCCCTAACTTGGTTTTAGCGATATCCTTACAGACAAGGTCTCGGGCATATCACTCGACAAAAACTCGGGCGAAAAGAAGAAGGCAGAGGATGCAAATCAATTCGATATAATATCAGTCAAAATTGCAGACTTGGGAAATGCTTGTTGGACTGGACATCACTTTACAAATGATATTCAAACAAGGCAATATCGATCACCAGAAGTTATATTGGGCTCCAAATGGGGTGCTTCTACAGACGTTTGGAGTATGGCTGCTATGGTATGTTGATGCACCTGCCCTTTTCCAACACTATAGCTAATTTTACAATCATCAGGTCTTCGAACTTATTACTGGTGATTATCTTTTCGATCCACAATCCGGGACCAAATATGGCAAAGATGACGATCACATTGCTCAAATTATCGAACTTCTCGGGCCCTTCCCCAAATCCCTTTGTTTATCTGGCAAATGGTCACAAGAAATATTTAACCGAAAGGGCGAACTACGAAATATTCATCGATTACGACATTGGGCCTTACCGGATGTGTTGAAAGAAAAGTACCATTTTAAAGAAGACGAAGCGAAGAGAATTGCGGAATTCTTAACACCCATGTTGGAGTTGACACCAGAGAAGAGGGCAAATGCTGGAGGAATGGCAGGTGCACCGTGGTTAGAAGATACAGCCGGTATGAAAGGGGTGAAGATTGAAGGCTTGGAAGTAGGGAGCAAGGGTGAAGGAATTGAGGGGTGGGCATATGAAGTCAGGAAGAGATAAGAACTCGCGAGGTTCGAGAATGATAGAGTGTAGGAATTCCTTTCTCATGAAACTCAGGCGCAGATGATTGGGGTGGGTTGGGTGATGGGTCATCTGTTGGTGGTCATCTTATGGGATTGGATTCGCGCAATTAAAGTCTAGGGTGGATGGGATGGATGGATGGGGCGGTGCCATTTGTCATGCATGTAGTATGGTATCATGAACCACGACTTTTTTTCTTCACATATTGGTTTGAATGAGTAGTGAGATGAGATATGAGATGAGATGAGATGATGGAGGTGGAGGTGGAGGTGGAAAACGACGATGGGAATGAGACGGGACAGGATGGGATGCTATGGATGGATGGACGGTATGGATTGGAAAAGGGGGAATGAATGAATGGATTATCGGGAGGATAGGCAAAGGAAAATTTTAAGATGTGAAGGAGAAATTTATCGTGTCTTGATACTTTGCTACCTACGCTCTTGATACGTGATGACGATTTGAGCGTAGAGAGTGGAGAGTGGAGAAAAATTTAGCTTATGCGGTGATGGGATAGTTGGTAGATAGGTTGGTAATAGGTAGGTAGGTAGGTAGAAAAATATATGGGACGATTTTTAGATGGTTATATATGTATGTATGTATGTATGTATGTATGTATGTATGTATGTATGTATGTATGTATGTATGTATGTATGTATGAAAGAATATATATGTATGATCTGGATGGAGATTGGGAATGGAGATGGGGATGGGTGAGCTTGTTAGTGTGTATGTGTGTGCGTGCGTGATTTACGATATGTAATATGTAATATGTAGTTCGATTTGATCCGATTTGATTCGAGCTCAAGAAGGTAATGAGTAGGGAGTAGGGAGTAGATAGACTGGCTGTGTGCTTTGTTGTTTTGTGCTTGGTTTTGTGTATAGTAGGTATACATATGCACACACATATACAACATAATGTACGCTAGAATGTGAAATGAAATGAAATGAAATGAAATGATATGAACAAGCTAGCATTCCACTTCCTTCACGGCTCCCAACTCCTTGACTCCTGTGCTGGCTGGTATTGTGGTATCTAGGTAGGATGATATAAAGATCCTGCTTCGTGCATTCCCACCCACCCATCCATACATCCATACATCCATGTGTCCTGGCCTCTTTCCCATTATATCCTTTCCTCTCCCATCCAACCTGCCACCAAAATATCAAAGAAACTATCCCAAGCCATGTCTGATCTCGCTACCCCTAATTACCCAAGTAAAGCTCTATTCCAAATATCTCCTATCTCCCTTACTCGGACTTCTCCCCTTACTCCTCCCGCGATTCTTACTCGGACTCCTCTCGATGGTTTTAAATTCCATCTCTCGCTCCCGATTTCCAAAAGTGCTTCTCTGGAAGAGAGCTCTTTGAGCAGTTCCGGCTCCGGTGGGCCAGGGTTCGTAAGGACCGAAATGTGATTGAGGGGTTTGGGGGATTCCCCATGGATTTGGTTGCCCGAAATAGTTGGGGTGTTGGGGGAGATGTTGCTGAGGGTGAGGTTGAGGTTCGGGGTGAAAGATGGGGGGTTTGGAACGGAACATTCCAAAGGCCATATTGTTTACGGCGATGGAGAGGGTAAAGATGAGGGCGACGAAGATCTAGAGGTGGTTGTTAATTTTCTGGTAGAAGAGGAAGTAGAGGGGTGTGGGAGTGAACGTACCATGGCTTTATAGCTGATAGGTTGGATAAAACTATCCAGAATCTCTGCGAATGTTTTCGCACTGATTCTAGCTCGTCCGACAGCATTGGGGTCCATAGACATACAGGCATCCCAGTTGTTACAAACAGTTTCTAAAGCAGGTAATCTCATGCTTGGTTCACATTTGTTTTCTGTGTATTGTTTTGCGCAGTTGGCCATCTCGGATAGAACTTCTGCGGTGGCTTTTTGAGATGCTTGGTCAACGTCGCTTCGGATTGTAGTCCAGAATGTATAAACCCCAAACATTATTAGTCCGACGACAAAAGTGTTGAGCGTTAATTGAGCGTAGTAAGAGAGAATGTTAGGAAGATTGGGTCGCGACTCGATACCGGATAGGAAGGAGGAGAACCAGCCTGGTGTGTTGCCCGCTTGCCTTGCTTCGGTCGATCGACTATTTGGTCTTGAATCTCCTGATTCGCTCTCTGATTCCGAAGCCGAATCCTTCCTGTGATGTCGCACTATCCCCATTGTTTCATCTTCTCGTTCATCCCGATGCTGACGCTTTCGCTTTTTAGCTATAGGTTGCCCTCCCAATTTCATTCTGCGCAAATCATTACGAGCGCCAGGACTGGTTCCTTTGTAATTTGTGCCATATTTGCCAAATAGCGGTTTGCGTGCAGAAGCATTTGACGAAAAAGCCGTCATGGTTTTGCTGGAGGTTTTGGGTATCTCAGGTGTATCTTCTGCGTCGGCAGTCTCGCCGGGGGAAGATTCAATTCCCGAAGCTTCGGAGTAGATATCTGAATTATATGGCTTGCGAGGTGTTGTGAATGCTGGATTTCGAAAAGCTGGAGCTGGTGTGGAGCTCTGTGCTAGAAAAGAATTGGTTGGTTTGGCAGAATCTTATTGCCTTATTAGTACACATGTTACTTTTTGTTCGATGGTACGAAAGTGAAGATACTCACTGTTATCAAGTTGCATAGCTTTAAATTGTAGAAATGGTGATTTTGGATCCATAGGGCCACCTTTCTCTTGCCATTCAAAGTCCATAGGACCTTCACCTGTCCTTCTAGAAGTATTACTCCACATGGTACTTTTTTGCTCGTTGATAGCAAAGTTTGGAGCTTAAACGTGAAGATATGGGGAAGTGAGGTGATACGGCATCTAGAAAATCCAAAGTAAACAAAGAATGGTCGCTCCTGAGGCAACCAAGATTTTTCCGATTCAACACTAACCTTAACATCCACTAGCTGGATTTGACAAAGCTTCAATTAATATACAACTTCAGCTTGGTACAACGCGAGTTGCGACGAAACAATTCATATAATTTCTGCGCATCTGTTCAATTCTACACCAACCACTACGACTCGATATCGATACCATATCGGCAATCGGCTTCTGATTGACACGCGGATAACATTTTGAAACTATTCAACATTCGATAGATAACAATACAAGCTTCCTTTGTCCTTTTTCACAATCTGCAAATATGTCGGATTCCGACCTCAATTCAAGACCTACCACACCCCTCCCAGAAGCTGGAAACGATGCTGGAGATCCAAACAGGCCCATTTCACAAGAACGAGATACACCAGAACCTCCTGTGGCCAACCCAGATCTCGATATGGATGATTTAGATAATGCAGAGGATGGCGGCGCTGGATCCGATAATGAATCAGATCTTTCTGATGTCGATGAAGCCAATTTTGATGATTTCGATGCAAGTAAAGTTGCTTTGGATGAGAGACCCATGGTTGGTATCGATGAAGATATTGCGAAGACGTTGAAAGCCAGTAAGCGCAAGCGTGCGGAAGGTGAAGCAAAGAAACCAAAAGAAGGAAAGCGAGACAAAAAGAAGAGGCCGCGCAGAGACTCAGATGAGGATCCCGATGGAATGGAGATTGACGGAAAGAGAATCAGAAAGCCCAAGAGAGTAGAGGGCGAGGGAAAGGATAGAGACAGAACCAAGGAACGAAGAAAGGCAACACCAGAACCAGAAAATGATGAAAATCTTACGCCGGATGAGAGGAGACGTAGAGCTTTAGATAAGGCTATGGATGCTGCGCTCAAGAATCCAAACAAGAGAAGAAGAAAGAAGGATGAAGTGGTATGTACATGTTTTCTGTTGTGAAAGACATACAATCTAACTTTGTGGCAGGATTTGGAAGAAGCTTTCGATGATGAAATTGCAGCTCTGAAGCTTCGAATGGAAGAAGCATGTCAAGCCGATAATGCTGCTCGAGATGCCAATTTACCCGCAACTAGAAAGCTTGAGATGTTACCAGAAGTCGTCGCTCTTCTCAACAGAAACACCATTCAGCATTCCATCGTCGACCCCGATACCAACTTCCTACAATCCGTCAAGTTTTTCTTGGAACCACTAAATGATGGAAGTCTCCCGGCATACAATATTCAACGTGATCTCTTTCAAGCACTAGTGCGTTTACCGATTGAAAAGGAAGCACTTCTAAGCAGTGGAATTGGTAAGGTCGTTCTATATTACACGAAGAGCAAGAGGCCAGAAATTCAAATCAAGAGAATCGCTGAAAGATTATTGGGAGAATGGTCACGACCAATTTTGAAGCGAAGTGACGATTACAAGAAGCGTAAGGTCGCGACAAAGGATTATGATTTCCAGTATGTATATTTGATCCAACACATGTTGTATCTACTAACATCCACTTCAGAGCCGCACAACTTGCGATCCGTCCGTCCGGCACCCAATCTTCGCAAATGCCTTCTTCCCAAAGAACACAACTCACAGCTCGTGATATTGAGCGTCAACGTCTTCTCGCACCAAAAGTCATTAGCAACAGAGCTAGAATGGAAACTTCAAATACCAGTTATTCGATCGCTCCTAGAAGTAACTTCGACCCAAGTAGAGGGTTGGATCCATCTTCCAGGCCTATTGGTGCGGGTGGTGTAGACGCCTTTAGAAAGATGACGGCGAAACAGGGGAAGAAGAGGTCATAAGGTTGACTCTGCAGCTATGACGATCGTGCTATTCAGAGGACTTGTATTATTGAATGAAGGGAGAAAGGAAGGTATGCAGGGCGTTTGTAACTTCGTCGGAATGCTAACATAAAGGACGTTTCACGGGTATCATAGGAAGGAATTGAGAAAGAACGAAAAAAAGATAATCACGCATACGTGGCATATACTAGGTAGTCATCTTAATCAAGTCAATTCGGGTCTCAAAATTGATATCTCAAAAAAAATCTATCCAGCTCCGAGCGCATTTACTTGAATTTTCGTTTCTTTGTTCCCCGAGTGCGGATTGGAAAGTCGATTCGAGAATCAGATGATCCTCAGGAGATACTTACATATACACCTAGTTTGAAAATTCGGGTCCGAAAATTTCTTGGAGAGAGTAATTGACACACGCAAGGTCGTTGTTTCGTAACAATGGATAGATGGATAAAGGATATAAAATACAACGTCTCATCGCATCGCATCGCATCGCATGAAATGTCATCTAATATTACAGTACCTTGATAATGTAGCGAGCGGTACCAGTTCCTCGTCTGTAACATTGCTTAAGCCCCCTTTTTATCCCGCACGCTTCGTATAGAGTGAGCTTCGTTTGTTGGAACAGAATGCATCTCCTGAATGTTTATTCACATAGGCGAAGTCCGTCTTACGAAATGTGAAGAGGGCTGGGGAGATGAGGGGATTGTGAACAACGTGATTCGGATGCCAGGGATCCGAAAGTTGCCTATGGTGCTGTTAGGAGGGAGGTGCATTCCGTAGTTTTCCGATGGATGGTTATGGGCGTAGTGGGTCTTTTAATCTGGTGGATGTTTTTTGAGTTTGGTATTTGTGTGGTTGGCTTCTTCCGCGGTTTTAGTGCCGGTATTTGCTTTCGGCTTTTCTTTTAGCTTTCGTGCTTGTCTTGCTGACGTGATGGGTGAGAGGGTGGCGTTGAAGTTGCAGATTGGAGAAATACTACTCGAATTTCGGATGTGCGGATCACTTGCATTTTTGAACTAATGCTGCGCGGGTCGGGCCACTTCTTGGGCTAAGCAGAGATGAGGTAGAAATGGATGTCATGTATGTCGGTAGCTACTAGCAGAGTCATGGATGGTAGTATGACATGGTGGGATGTAGGTAGTCGGTGCATATGTAGGAGCATGGACAAGTGGATGCTATTATTAGGAGATTGACAATAGTAGTCCGTTTTTGGAAAGAGAGTATTGGTCTTTAGATGAGTTCTTGGGTATCTTTGCATTTTGTTCGTTCCAGTGTTCAGAGCGGAGAAAGTTTGACATGAGATGAGTATCTCGGCTTGCTAGGGAATTTGAAGGATTTAAAGGGAAGCACATGGTTCTCAGCACAGAGGCTTAAGACAATGAATTTGGCTTGATGGCTGGTAAAGCGTCTGAATCTTCATTTCTAGCACTAGAGCATTCATTTCTGTATCAGCTCAAGTAGTCAATGACAAGAGCACAGCATCACCATTTGAACAAAGTAATCACAAAATCTAATAGATGCGGAGAGAGAAAATATGCTTGAGAATCTAATTTAGATTTTATTTTTCTTCATCAAAATTTCCAGCGAACAAACAACTGTACTGAAATTTTTGAAATTTTTGTAGAAATTCCCGGGTATCCTTCTGCTGTTCCGCTAAATCCATCCTTTCTTTTCCTTTCCCATCATTATTCCATTACGCCTGTTCCAAAATATCATGAAATTTTCGTTTTTTTTTTTCCTGGAAAAAACCGCTCCAAACACCATTTGTTCTTTTACAATTCTTGCTCCTTCCAATTCTCCATTACCTCCTCCAACTTCAACTTGTAGAATTTGTAACACTCATATTCTATGAGCCCCACACTAGCGCTCACGATCCATATCTCCCTCTTTGCATTCCGTTGGTTTGTTGTGGTGCCCCATTTTGGGATTGACTGGACATGACTAACATTTCGAAAGCTTCAATGCGGGATTTGAGAGCTGCGTTTTCTTTTTGAAGGTATTTGTTGCGTTTCTCGAGGTGGTTGATGTATTCTGTTGCTTTAGATAATACAGTCGCCTATTAAATTTATTAAATCCAAAGTTTCATAAAATCAGGTGTCTGAAAGAACATACCTTATTTAATTTATGTGCTGGTGTTAAGCCTTGTAAATCTTCCTCCTCATCATCCCCATTAATATGCTCATCGCCATCTTCCTGTCCCCTCGAACATTTTCTGGTCATCACTCTCAAACTAGGTACACTGTCCCTTAGTAGAGCAATCTTATCATTCAAGTTCGTTCGGTATCGCTTTTCGATCATGTTGTGGGCGGTCTTCTTGATGGGTGGATGACGGGCGGGTACCTCATCTTCACCGTCGGAATTCGAATCTGAAGAACAAGCTGATGATTTGCGTTTCAAGTTATTAGAATGATTTGAATTTGACATTGACTGGCGTGTAGGTCTGGAAATTGGAGAATGCGATGGCGAACTTCTGGATGAGGTAGGAGAAGTGGGATATGCAGAGGTGTTTTGAGTTTGTTGAGGCATAGCAATAGCACGAAGTTGAAATTCTTCCTGAGGAGTGAGAGTACGGTTATAGAGTATAGGTTGCTGTTGAAGATTGGGGATGGTTTGTGCGCGACGGAGGTTGATATTTGAGTTCATTTGGGGTCGTGCCCAGGATAGGGGGGTGGAGTATAAACCATCCCTAGATGGAATGTCGATCATGGGCGAATTCATGAGATTGCTTGGTGTGGGTTGAAAGAGTTGTTCTCCCGCGTCGACTAAATTATCGTCACCGAATACTGCTGCTTCGTCGATGCTAGAAAGATTGCGGGAGAGCTCGAGACCGCTCATATTAGGCGAGAGGGGCTCAATTTTGAGTTCTGGGAAGAAATCTGAGGTAGGTGACAGGGCTGCTTCACTTGGGTCGTCCCAACGCATCCAATCCTCAAAGGTACCAAAGTCAAACGCTTGGCCTGTGGATGATTTGCGGTTTGTATTTTGGAATGGTTCTTCTTTGGGGAGTATGTAAGAAGGTTTGGAGAAAATTGGGTCGGATGAGGTTGGTGATGGAAGAATGGAGTCACAAGAGTCTGAGTTGTTGACGAGCGCAGGCTCACTATCCCAGTTAAATGGGGAAGTACTCTGCTATAAGAACTGGCTGTCAGTCAATGCTGCAGTGGGGGGGAGGGTTGTTGAAGAGAAGACGAATAGAAAGCAACTGCAATAGGTGGAGTTTATCCACATGACTTATCCGAAAGACCCGGGTAACTTGAAGAAGTACTCGCTTCGTAGCCATCATTGACTTCATGATGTTTATGTTTGAAGGAATCGTATTCTACTTACTTCAGTTTGCTGCCGTGACAATGAGAAGTAATCGACGGCAGGCTTCTGGCAAATCACACTTGCCATTGAGGAGATTGATGATACCAGTTTGAGTTTTGAAGTAAGTCGAAACTTACACCTTGATAGTTATTATAGTTTAACTGGAGTTGAAAGAATATATCGGAGTCTGTGTTGTTGAGGGAATGCCGAGGTTGTTAACACCAAGCCCGACAAAGGAAGTGATTGGGAGTAAGGTATTTGATAATGTGGACGATTTAAAGGATTATCCTTGAAGTCAAATAACGTGTTCGATTTGTTGATAGTTTGGTATCTGTATGATCTGGTTGTGGCGTAGAAATGTTGGTTGTATTTGGGGTATGGACCTTTAAATAGAATGGTAGAGGGGGTGAATTCTCACAATTTTGATATAAAATTTGGAAAGTATCGATTTCTCGGAATGACCATGTGGTAAGAAGACGTTTCCAAACTTTCAAGCCTCAGTACCGGTTCATCTTCGTTATCATACGAGTATCACGATTTGTATGATGTGATATTAGAATGAATTGTGGAGATCGAAGCCGAATCCAGACCTTATTTTTGTTCACTGAACATAGGCGGGGGACTCCGGCAACATTGGAAGGTAAAAAGATGTAAAAAACAATTTGAGAAGCAACAGAGAAACAACTGGGCACTGCTAGAATTAATGTATTGGACGGGCAAAGGCAATTAGATGGAAATGAAAGGAAGCATTTTGTGGAATTAGACGAAAAAGAATGGAATAGAATGGCAGGCCTAGTTTTGAGCATATAGTAGTACCAGAATAGTAATAGATAGAAATGCATCCAAGGTTTCATACAGCATCAACGTGATTCGATGGGAACTCTGCATTTATGCATCAAGATCAAGCTTCCCAAGCTCCTAAGCAAGCACAAGAATGAATCAATCAACAAATTGGACAATTCATGGTTGAGTTGCTTGGATATTTCGGAATTGGATGTACGCATACAATCCATTACTTACCGGACCCCAATCCCGTATGAATATATCCAATCCCGTAGAACTCCCCGAATGTCATCGAGATCCCACAATGGAGCCGTGTCTATGAGTTTGTGTATGGTTTGCATCGAAGAGCAAACAGGTGATTGGGTACTTCAAAAGGTTGTATACTCTAGGTATGAAGTTATGAGGGCGAGGCACATGCCTTCGGCTTCTCTTTGGATGAGAATCAATGGATATTACTTGGATTAGAAACATTATCGACCTCGAAACGTGTTAGGATGTAACTTCTTAAATGCCATAACTGACGAGAATTTCATATAGTGGGCTGATTTTCTGAAAGTTTTCATGCACGTTGCTCAATGTCCCATCGAAACTTACCCAACCAACCAAGCCTTACAAGCCACCCTTGCATATTAAAACTAGGAAGAAGTAAAAAAGAACTGGAGTGGCTGTTCTAAACCAATCGATTCGATACTAATTCGTTTATTTATGTAACCTAAATCCCCTTATTGATAGAACGGAGCGAGCCGGATCAGCCTTAATTAACTGTTCTGGGTGCTCATTGAGGACCATTTTATCCTTACAGTCCTTACGGACGTTGAATGCCGCTTCCACATGTTAAAAGTGTGTGAAAGTGTACATTGTACAAAGTTCCACCAATTACCTTCATTCTATATATGGTTGTCACATCAATAAGTTGCTAATAAGAGTGCCATTGCATCAAAACAGCGTAAATTCGAAATAGCGGGAAGCTTTTGTAGATCCCCAGGAGTACAAGGGTACGCAGGGAGAACTTCCGGATTGTATAATATCTCCGACGTATATCGACAGATGTTAACGTCATCCCTTACTCAATATGTATATCTTGCCTACTCCTCCACGATCTCAGGAACGAAAGAACGGTTTTCATCGACGATGAGAGTCAACTATCAAATCATACATCAATACAGCATAGCATGAACTGGACATTTGGTTCTATGTTAGGGGGTCGAACACTTTCAATGACAATCCTTCCTTGAAGAGTTGCTCGTGCAGAATCGTGCATGTTTTCCGGGGTTCAATAGGCTCTCATCTAAACCATATTGGTAATTATATGCGCATCCGGAATTCGCTTTCCAGCTTTCCGTTACTAAATCTGTTTTTCTTAGACCTTCCGTTCGGCTCAAGTTACCTTTTCACCGAGCGTTGAAGTGCATAGGTATGCTCTTGAGGTGTGGAGGAGATATTGTGATGACCACGAGTGTGTTTGTTGTTCTCACTCCGAATTCCAAGATTTTGTTCAATCGTCATGAAATAGTATCGGCACTCATTGAATACGTTGTTTAGTACCGTCTACAAATAGTTCATCAAGTTGATGAGGTCACTACATACCACAATTGCACACCGCCTACGCCGTGCTCTTGTCGTCTTGCTGTGCGAGGACCCCGAGACCGTTTGCTTGTTACCCCGCATTTTGTCAAACCATCATCGCAATATATTCGCCCCTTATCTTGCTGGAGGAATCCCAAATCAATGGTCCTGCTTCAACGGTTAATTACATTATCTGAGCCTGCTTTTTCACCACGGATATCTGCACGACCCTTGTTGAACAGAAGTGCCTCTTTGTAATACACTTTTCTCTGAATGTCTAATCATGGGACTATTAAAATCAGGTCGACAGTGTAAGCCTCATCCATTTTCAGCCTTCTCATGCATTTTTTATGTCGCAAACGCAGTGCTACAATGTCACAAGGAGCTTAAACATGGAGTTTTTGATACCAACGTCATGGGCTTTTGACTTTGCAATTCATCCCTTCCACAGTATGCGAAATTTTTACGTTGCTGAGTGGTTATGCCGCGAAAACCTGACATACCAACCGCGTTGGACAGCGTTTCAGTAACGACAATGTAGTATTGCATGAGAGTTCTTCAGGTTAGATTGCAATAGACTGGGCGGCAGATTTGGGTGTTTGCTTGACTTTCACTTGAGCGAAGACGGATTCCTGTGAAAATTCACGAAATTTTTACAGGATTTCTTGCAAAAATAGCTAGCGGGATTCGCCCCCACTTCTGGAGCGGGCGCCAGCAGTACTCCCGCACTAACAGTATGCAAAGTATTCAGGCTTAGAGAGAGTGGCGGAGATGAAGAAAGGTTTCGTTTGATTTTTTGATTTTAGGGGATTTGCTTGCTCTGCTGATGGTGTTCGGAGACTCGCAAGTCTTTCGGGATGTTTGATATTCGGTATTCATAAACCAGGTAAATCCTCGGCGAATTTTGGTGAAAGCTCCAGTGGGGCTGGGTATGCTCATTAATGAGGCGCACTAGGGATTTGCAAACGAATGAAAATAGCTTCGAAAGGTGTATGATGAAAGTACTCAAGGGCCCATTCTCCACCTCAATATTTCTGGAAATGTTTGTTTCGAGGCTATTGGGCGAGATGTCGCCGTTGCCCAATAAGGAGGCTAACTAGCAATCCAGCAAACTCTCTTTGTTGCCCGTGGAACGACTTTCTCGCACTTCCATATCCAAATGAAAGCATTCCAAAATCTATTTGCAGCACTGTTGGCGTACCACTAGATATCTGCACGATACATCAGATGAACTCTGTCGATAAATGAACTTGGAGATGATCGATTTCAAATAGGAATGAGTCTTTCGGTAGTAACTCATATGTGTTGCGATGGAAGATAGGTCGTGGCCTACGTTTACCAACTTTTGTCTGATTACAACATATAGCTTCAGAAGTTAAAACGGATCGTTTAGGTTTCGCGCTCTGGTGAGATATGGTATGTGAAGTGGCTTATAGGCTTTCTATATTTCAGGGTCCGTCGTAAGTAGTGGTCGTACTTCCTTCGAGACAATCTATAAATTGAGACATAAGCAATTCTTGATACGGGTCCAAGTAATTTTTCCCGAGACATCTCAAGTTCTACGGATGTACGTGTTTCTTTAGGCATCTAGATGATGTTTATCCAGTACTTGTATTTCCACTACACATTCACAAGTGGCCCATTATTTAAGTTTCCTACAAGTTCTAATCATATCATGAGCGAACTTCCCATACATCAATATCAGACCATGTCTGACAGGCATTCAGACATTTAGACATCTTCTCCTCTAGAACACCAATCAAAAAGAAGAGAGGGGCAAAAAGAAAGCTGGAGAGACACTTGTAAAGTTACGAAAACATTTTAGTCAAGGTAGGGTTCAATATGAGAGCTCGACGTAAGGGCACTCTATATTACCTCTAGTCATTTCCCACTAGACAACAACACACCTTCATATCTTCGAGGACCCAGAGATCTAACATTATTGTTCTTCCTACCTACCAACACAAATGAAGCTTCAAGTTCTACGCGAGACAAAAATATTGAACACCTACAGACACCGAAACTAAAGAAGATGTGTCAGAGCGAATACTCAAACATTCAATTCTCACACTACTTCCTGTTTCGTACGTAGAAAACTAGTAGCATTGGCTAGCACCTAACGGTGAATATAAGAAGATAATACGGCCGGTAGCATACCCAAAGCTGGGGATTTTTTTCAAAAATTCGAACAAAGCTAGATCATAGCTGACGAGCAAATTCCAACAAATGAGTGAAAATAAAGGCCCACAAAATCCACCAATACCGAATGCACTTCAGCTTTTTTCGACAGCAACACACAACCATGATGAGATGTAAAGATGAATGTACTACTCTACGTTCCCTTCGAATAAAAAAAGAATCCTGTAGCAAAAGATCGACGACCAATGACTAGATCAAAAACTGAGCCACAGTCGTAGAAAATGACAAAAGTAGTTTCTTGCGACAAGTTGTCTGACCAGACTGGGGCACGATCCCAGGACCTTGTCCGTATTTAACAGGTATTAATTGTTAAGGACACGTGATAACCAACTACACCATCCGGCCTATTTGCATGTTTGAATGCACACATTTTGATAATATATACTTAATTAGATTGCAATGAGTGAAAAACATAGTTTGTGGATTTGGTGGGGCAGGAAAAAAAATCGCGAATAGTGGGGTCGTCTCGGCTCAACCCCTTCATTTTCTCGGTAGTCTAGTTTTTTTCATCAGAATTTTCCAACAACTCAAACACCAAA